ACCGTGCTCCTACGACACCAGCCAGGGCCAATGGATGCTGCTTTTTAACTGCATTTTAGACCTGAAATCTGGATGGCAGAAAACTTTCTCTCCCACTTAACCAGGACTTAACTGAGGTTTTAGTTCATCGTCCTAGGCCTAGAGAGAGAATCTTTTACCAAAACTCCAAAAAGACTCCACACTCTTTAATCCTTCATCACAAGTGAAAAACCGGGGCGAGAATCTTGGAACTCTAGCTGACCTTTTTTAATTCCTCACTTCAAGAGTACACAAAAATATGTGTTTATCATTTAAAGAACAGCGCCAAGTCCCCCCATTCCGCTCCGGGCAACACACATCCGTAGACGCTGATGCATGCTTTAGCACCAGTTCCGCATTGACTACCTGTAATGCCTGCTCTCTTGGTCTTCCCAAAAAGAACATTTTCAGTGTACAATTACTACCCAAAACATCGCTGCACGGTCCCTGACGAAGACCAAGGGCGGGACCACATTACACCGGTTTAGGATAAATCGCTGCATTGGCTCCCCGTAGTGTTTCGGATCGATTTTAAGGTTCTTTTAATGAGTTGTTTAAATGTCTTAATGTGGTCTTTGGGCCTTCTTATCTTCTGTTCCAGGAATCTGGCTTTTATCCTAGGAACCTTCCCGGCCGCCTGGCGCGCCCTGCCGGCAGCAAGACGCCCCCCCCCCTAACCAAGCTCCCTAAGGCAGAGACACAGCTACGCACAGGCGAGGCAGCTGTCCAGCACTACGCCCCAGGCCCGTCTCTGGAGCCTGGCTGCCGGGGAGAGCTCTGGGCCGCAGGAGACGTCATATTTTATAGCCTAGCGTACATCGACCAGAGAAACCGGGGGACAACTAGTTTTGCAAGGCGGCTTTTGGAACAACTGAGAGGAATGGGGGGAGATGATCAGTGTTGCCGATAGCGTCCGATGTGCGCGCTCTTCCAACAACTGGAGATGATCAGTACGGTCGCCAGCTTCCAGTCAGTTGCCGTTGCCCGTGTTCTACTTTTCGGCAACTAGTTGTCCTCTGTTTGACCCCGGATGTCGCGCGCTCCTTGCGCCGCTCCATACACATCGTGTGATGTATATTGGCGTGTATTGCGAAGCCCGCAATCTGGTTGTTGGTCAGAATATCTCACCGTAGTTGAAGGCCAGTTGCTGTCGATGTACGCGCGGTTAAGTCAAGATGAGTACTGGCGCCTGCGACGCAAAGTTGGCCCGTTTTCCGCCAGTTTGTCGTATGTGTGCGGGCATGGCAGCAACAGCAGAGGCGACGGTTATATTCAGGTTGCAGTTTGCCAGTCACCGATGTACGCTAGGCTTAAGAGTAGGCTCATGACCCACCTTTTTAGATTAGCTTTTGATTAGTTTTTTACTATTATCATGTTATATATATTGATACAAAAAAAAAAAAGCCCCCCACTGAAAGATCAAGGCTATGCTCACACTCAGAGAGCAGCCGTCCTCCGGTGACTCACCACCTGCAGAGGTCCAGTGAGGGCCGGGTGCTAGAGACTTTTGGTGCATCTCTTGACCTTGCCACCCCCCTGAACCCAGAAAATGGATGTTAAAAGGGCAAGAAAATGGATGGAGGGATGGCATGTGTATATTCTATTTATCTTTCTATTTGCGAGGTATATTGCTATGCGTTTTTTTTCATGGTATTGTGTGATTTTTCTTTTAGTTTCATCATTTGTGTGTTTTACTTATTGGTTTTAGTGTACCCAGTGTTTCCTTTCTGGAGGAGCCCTCTGCACTGGGAGCCGGTGGTCTGTGGCTGTGGGGGTCGGACTCTGGACCTGGTGGGGGCCTGGGGCCTCGGTTTTCTGTCTCCTCTGGATCCTGTGTCGTCCCCTGTGGCTACAGGCGGCTCTCTGCTCCTGGTGACCAGACGGCTCCTAGGATGACGCTTTTTCAACTGGTTGCATTCCGAACCCTGCCAAGTCTTCTCTCATGCGTGTGCGTGGTGTTTTACGTGTTTTACTTGTGTGGGTGTGTGTGTGTGTGTGTGTGTGTGTGTGTGTGTGGCGACTTGTTTTTCAACTCCTAGTGGGTTCCATAACCTGAGATTCCACTCACGTCATGGGGACTGGTTTTACGTGGTGGGGCCCGAACACCGGACCCCACTGGTCCAAGCTTAATAATCAATGGGTAATGCTTTTCTAACGGTCCTTATGCAGTCTCTGTAAAAATATGGAAAGGACCCCTGGAGGTTTACTTTCCTGAAAAAAGTGTGTTTATGTGTCGGAACCCTGGTGGTGGGTTGCGGGATATCAAGGAGGGGCACACTGGGGCAATTTCAGTCCAGCAGGCTGGAGCCAATCATGGAGCAGCACAACAGAGGAAATCAGGTCAGGCTAGAAAAAGGTGCAAGTGTGTGGTTCATTAGGCTGCAAGAACATCATGGAGGAGCACACTGAAGCGCACGCTTACAACCCACTGGTAAGTGCTGACTACAAGTCAGTGACTTCAAATTGTTATCCTATAGAATTATTACAAATTATTTGTTGTTTGTGCAGCTTAGTCAAGAGTCCCTAATTGATGAAGTCAACTCAGATTCTGACGATTTAACTGTCAAGAAGAAACCTGTAAAAAAGTATGGAAAAAGAAAAATCAAAAACACTTTTCTTCAAGACTCGGAAAGTGACGAACCAAAGGCAAATAAGATTGTTATCATGCAGCTGCAAAAGAAGAAAAATGGGGGGCAGGGTATACAGCAAGGACACTTTTTGCATCAGGATGAGGTCACGGGTGTTGTCAAAGCAGCTCCCTAGCCCAGCCTGTACCGGAGGGCATCAGCAAAAAAAGGGGATTCAAAGCAGAAAAGGGGATTCTGAGACTCGGAGAGCACCTGTACTTAAAACACGGGCATGATAAGACTAAGCATGATTACATTAGGCAGAAAATGAGAGAAGTCGGTAGGTTAATTAACGAAGCAAAAACCGCAGGGAAACTGAAAACAATTAAGGATTTCTTTATTCCTTCCAACTTTAACCATGTGATTGATGCAGTCAGGTCTGTGGCTGGATATGATGAGGAAACAAATCAATACAAGACTCCATCCTTGGCCCTCAAACTCGGCCATAGCCTCAGAAAGCTAGCAGATATTCTTGAATGTGACTCAAAAATGGAGCATTGTGTTGATGAACTATTTATTAAAAACCTCCAACGAAGCCGGCTGCTTTTTGAGAAGAGGTGGGACGTCTGTGTTTCTTCTGCTGCCCTACAGACCCTCCGGCAAGCCAAGTGGAACACTCCGGACCTGCTCCCTCTGACTGAGGACGTTAGAGCCATGCATGCACATATTGAGGTATGTCGACCTGAATATGTGCAAACCCTAATAAGTGAGCCAACGTCTAAGCATTGGTCTAAACTGGCAGTTTTGACTCTTTGTGAGGTCATCATTTTCAATCGAAGAAGGGAAGGTGAGGTTTCAAAGATGCCACTGACAGCCTTTACCTTAAGAAGTAAGACTGGGATCCATTCTGACATTGCTCTGGGACTGTCCCAACTTGAGAAAAAGCTGTGTCAGCATTTTCAACGCATTGAAATTAAAGGGAAAAGAAGTCGGAAAGTGCCGGTTCTTTTGACTCCTGAAATGATTGCTTCGATGGAGGTGCTGGTGGAGAACAGAAGGGCCTGTTCCATCTCTGACCATAACCCATACTTCTTTTCCCGCCCGGGCGCAGACACCCACATCAGGGGATCAGACTCCCTACGCCAGGTAGCCAAAGAATGTGGTGCGGTGCATCCAGAGATGCTATCCTCAACCAAACTTAGAAAGCACATAGCTACTATGTCTACAGTTCTCAATATGAAAGAGAATGAGATGGACATACTTGCCAACTTCCTCGGCCATGACATTCGCATCCACAGGCAATATTACAGACTACCAGAGGGGACACTGGAGCTGGCCAAAATCAGCAAAGTGTTGATGGCCATGGAGCAGGGAAGAGTGACGGAATTCGAAGGAAAGAGCCTCGACCAGATACAAATTGAGCCTGAAGGTAATTCTTGATATTATTAAAATATGTATGATTTTTTTCCCCTAAAGGCCACTTGTATTTTTATTTTCTGTGCGACAGGGAGAGCAGTAGAGATCCTCTCACAAACGGACGGGCTAAAAGAAACTTCAAGCGGAGAACCTTCAACCATTCATCCAGATGCACCCCATGGTAGTGGCAGTGCCCCTTCTGGTAAGTGTACCAGGTGGGGGATTACAGCCAGGCTGCTTGGTCCTAACCCTGGGAGTGTATATTGCTAATATATTTTTATTTCTCTCCCTAGAACGTGTAAGAAAGCCATGGTCTGCATCTGAGGTGAAGGCTGTGGAGAAGACCATGACACCTTTCATACAGACTGGAAAGGTCCCTGGGAAGTCTCACTGCCTGGCCTGCATTAATGCCTCACCAGATGACCTTAGACATCGGACATGGAGTGGCATTAAATTCTATGTCAAAAATAGAATCACTGCAATTCGAAAACAAAATCTAAAATAAAATTCCTTTAAAATAGTTGTTTGGTTTCTATTGACTGTTTTGTATTACTTAAAGTAGTCCCAGTAAAAAAAGATTATGTCTATGGGTCCCATTCTGAACGGCCCTGTCAAAGGGACCCACCAGGTAACAAAAACGTGTATGTGTGTGTGTGTGTGTGTGTGTGTGTGTGTGTGTGTGTCAAAGAGTGTGCATGGGAGCGTGTGTGTGTTTGTCTGTGGTTTGGGATGGGTCTGTTGGGTGGTCGGTGGGAGGGGTCTTGGGCCGGCGGGATTGTTTTTAACCAAACTGTAAAGCACTTTGTGTTGCATCTTTTGTATGAAAAGCGCTTCATAAATAAAATTTGATTTGATGATTTGAACTAGTTTGAAGGGTTTTGATAATGGTATAAAAGTTAGGTACCTCTGCTTTAAAGTATTATTTTGGTATTAAACATCTAAATAATATTCTAATTTGAAGGCAGATCCAGGGATGGTGAGTAGAACATAAGGCCGTACCATCCAGGAGAGAGTCCGGAGTGGCTTCCCTGCTGTTGTACCCCATTGAGCAGGCGCTGTCCGGGCTTCGGATCTCATCACTGTGGGCGCAGAAGTAGAATTAGTTGCTGCGGGTGGTCTTGGGAGGAGAAGATCAGATTTTACCTCTCGCTATTCTTAGGGAATGTCAGGACCTCGTGAGACAGCCAAGACCTGGGCCCACCGGAGTTATCGTCCAACTGACAAGATCAGAAACACAATGTTATGGCCATGTTTGTCTTAAAGAACAAATATGATGTAGACAGTGTTTGTATCTATTTTAAAAGATGATAATGACGTCACTGAGGAGCAGGACACAAGCACAGAACTTTGGCCTTATTGATTCGCCTGTATCAATGAAACTCTATAGAATTTAACACCTAGATTAATAACTAAATATACCAGAAAAATGAAACCAAACTAATTTAATTTTTACAGTGCCAGGAGGGGCCGACCCTTTTCGGCCGTTAAACAGTTCATAGTCACATCTTCAGATCAGATTTTTCGGACTGAAAAGTGAAAAAGAGAGGACCACCCTCACTCAACCAATCAGCTCTGAGTGCAAAACATCAAACATTAAACTCAAAGACAAATGTGTTCTGCACCACATAATAACTACACAAATAGTTTATACCTGCAGTCCCTCGACTCACAGGGAATAATCCACAAACATGGATTATTCAGGGACAAAAGGTAGGTACCCCAGCTTTAAATAGCAAATATGTGGATAAAAACATGAATAATTGAGAGATGGCTAGAATGAGCAATCTTGTGGGAGAAGTGTGAAATTATATTGGCCAAATTTTAAATGGAAATCAAACACGACATGGTCTGATTCAAGGCAGTTGTAAAGACCAGAACAAGTTGGAAAAAAAGTGCATTTACACAGAAGGGGCGAGGGAGCACGCTGTCAGAAGTTCCTGATATCTGCAGATTGGACAGGCTCCTCCGGTCCCGGCAGTGGATGAGGCTGCTGCGGCTCTTCTTGTGTTCAAACGTGTTGAGTTGTCTGAGATCCAACATGGACGTCACCATGAGATCCAGAGAGCCCAGAGAACCCAACCGGTGAGACCAGCGCCTGCGCGGACGCTTCCTCTGCTCTGAGACCACCGTCCGGGCCTGAAACACCGCGACATACAAGTAAGAGGACGTGGAAACAGAGTTTTTTTTTTTTTTTCAAATTTCATGATTTTAATTTTTGTGTTAGATGATGAACTACTTTGTTAGTGTCTCAGATAATATTACTGTATGTGATGAAAATGAGCAGCTGTGTGTGTGTTTACTAAGCAAGAGTGAAAACTAAATCTTGCACTTATAATCAACCAATTTAATTTAATTCAAAGTCTTGATGATCCACCAGGAAGTAGAAAATCCAGTAGAATGTGCCTTTAATAAAATGTGTTTCCATCCAGAGTCTATTTAAACTGCTTATTTGACTGTTTTGAACACGTCATATATACAGTAACTGTATTAATATGTTTAGATTCGTAAAATATATCAACACATGGCGAAAGCTGTTAAATCTTGATATTATATGTATGTGTGTAAATATATATCTATGTAACCATTTCTGCTCGAAAAGAAAGAATGAATGAATGAATGAATGATTAGTATGAACACTATTGAAGACGAGCCTCTTGCACACAGACCTTGGGCAGGTCCCAGTCCTGTTCTTTCTCTGAGCCTCCTGTTGAAGAGAAACCTTATGAGCAACAGTGCAAAAACATAAACCCTTCTGAGAATTTGAATATGGTCAAAATATTTACATATAATCAAAGAAATGTAGCATTGGAGTCTAGAGATTTCAAATGCATTGGGCAATGAATAAATCAGGGATGAAACTTTCGAAACACTGCAAACAACTAGCTCAGTGAAGTAGGGAAGTGCTTATGGTTGATTATTTGCTCTGGCTCCTATTGAAAAACAAACTCCTCTAGCTCAGTAGCCGTTTGTGCCTCACTCACCATTTTGTACTTAAACAATCGTAGGTTTAGTGCTCTCTGTGATCCTGGGGTTTATATTGTGACATTGTCTTTGAAAATTCAGATTTGAGCCATATAAGGACTCCAGGTGCATTAACAAGCCGGAGCAAATGCCCAGGAAATTGGTTCCAGCTAGCTTATGTTCCAATCAATTTCTTCAGCAATGGGCAAACACTCTGATGACGTCAACATTCAGTTTTTCCACTCCTGATATAAAGTCTATCCCATCTACGCTGGCGAGGGGTACACAGGGTGAAAAAGGTTGGGAGCCAAACTGGGCATTCTAGTGTCTGACTGTCTTCACCTGTGTCCTCATCTGTGCGGCTGCCGTCACTGGAGGTTACAGGGGTGTCTTCTGTGGCGTCTTCACTGTCGCTTTCAGAGGAGATGCCCCCTAGAGATGGAGCACTGTACAGCTCCCTCCTACAAGCACAGGTCAAAGGGGAAAAAGAACAAACAAGACAAATGTAGTATGAGTCTCATACTTGTGTGACGTCAGTTGGTATGTGTGACGTTGTCTCTCTGCGCCTGTGGCATAAAAGCAGCCAAGTCTCACACTCGCCCCAGCAGCGAGTTGGAGTGTTCTGGTGACAATAAGTGGTTTGAAATTAAATGACCTCAGTTGCTACTGAGATGATTCTGTGGCTTAGGTTCAGCTGTCAAGGTTTGCAATAATCTTAGTATGTAAACAAGGGTGGAATGAGAATGTCTGGTGTGTAAACTATTGCTTTAAGCCAGCAATGAGAACTGTCTGATTTTTTGTGTGGGCTGTGATTGACAAGCGAGCTGTCAGAGCACGCCCAACTCTAAGCCCCCCTTCCAGTCCCCTGGTCCTGGAGCAATGCCCTATTTAAACTAGTTGATCTTTAAACGTGGGAGACTGGGCCAAATCTCTGACTTAAACCCCAGATTAATATATACATGTGACACTTTGGAAATTGTTTATAAAATGTGCTATACAAAATAAGTGGATTGGATAGTTCACCTGATGTGTGTCCACAGCGGAGCCTCTTCCCTGGGGCCCTCCTCCCTGGGCCCCCCTTGGAGCTGTCTCTGCCTCCGTCTCATCCTCAACGTGAGCTCTGGCTTCAGTCTCCACACAAAGACACAGCTGCAAAGACATTCACACATTAAAAGTTAATATTCTCATCTCTCCCTGACACAAGAGGAAACACATCTGTGCTCTCATTTCCTCTGAGGTGGAGGAAAGCACACAGCGATTCAGGGAAAGATTTCTTTGTGATTTCCTCATAAGAGTGACTGAATTTCAGGCAGTTTTAGAAGAACTGCTCTATTGTTTTCTGTAGGATGTAGTGGCAATTGTGTCTGTTTGTAAGATTTTTGAAATATAAAAGAGCAAAGGTGTTCTATGAGTAAAGTAATTCACCATTTTGTGTAATACATTATTTTTGAGACTCAGGCTTTTTTGCAAGGGGTTTTCAAACGTTTCAGTCATGGTTGCATGAAATGTGCATAACATCAACTAGTGACCTCTGTTGCTGCATAAAGTTTAAAGAAATATTGATTGCAAAAACAGCGAACTCAACCCCATTATCATTGTTAGGGTTGTGTTTTTGACCTACTGTCACTTTCATGTCAAATAATTATTGAAATACGTGATCCCTGAGGTTTAGGTTTCATGAACCTAAAAACACTAAGACAAGATATCAGGCTTTTGGCAGTTAGTGTAGTTACTATAAAAGACTTTCATCTGCCCTCCACCATGATGTGAAACTTTAGGCTTTTTGGTGTGTTGTGATGTAGTAATGTTTTATAAAGTTGTGATTGTTGGATGTTTTCACCTGTCTCCAGAGGCAGAGATGAGATGCATGCAGTCATTGGTGAACTTCAACGCAGTTACGACCTCTGGAAGAACATAGGAACAAGTTAAAAAGGGGCGACAGTGGCTCAGTTGGTTTAGCGTTGGCCTTTAAATTGTACATTTATCCTGTGTGAGATCAATAAAATCCATCTTATCTCATCCTAAGCTTGAAGGTTGTGGGTTCGAGCCCACCACAAGACTTTCTCCACGACTCCCACTGATGTCTGCTGTCGATGTGTCCTTGGCAAGACACTTAACCTCTGGGAACACCTGATGCCCCAGTGGGGTGGCTGCGGGTGTAAAGTGCCAAACTGCTGTTGTGTCCTTAGGCAAGACACTACACCCCCATTGCCCAGAATGAGTCTGGTGTGTGTGTGAATGGTTGGTTGGTGGTCGGAGGAGGAGTCGATGGCTTCTGTCAGTGTGTCCCAGGGCAGCTGTGGCTACAGTAGTAGTTTATCACCACCGTGTATGGAGTGAATGAATAATGACATGCGAAACCTCTTTGAGTATCCAAAAAAGCGCTATATACAGTAAAACTGATGCATTGTTATTATTAAAAAAGACCCATTAAAATGATCTCCTTTTCCTCGTCTTACCTGAGTGGCCAGACATGGTCGCCACACATTCCCCAGTGTGGAGGTCGAGGAGGCTTATGGTTTTGTCCGAGCAGCTGGTGGCCACGTACAAACCAGACGGATCCATTTGAACCTGGGAAAAAAGACACATCCTGTTGTAGCAGAAATTGTAGGGACCGCAATCTTCTCCCCAAGAGAAGAGCCCAGAACAAGGCGGCTCCAGGATGACCAGAGGAGTCATTTACAATCCTCAGGGCTCGGTTTAAGAGTCTGCTCTCATAAAGAGCCTCCAGAACGGGCATCTCACAGTTCAAGCAGAATGAACCACTTTGTTCAGAGTTCTCTTTTCTTTGGCGGTGATGCTGCCGAACCACACAGTAAACGCACCAGCAAGCAGGCTTTCTATGGTGCAGGAGCAAAAGTTCAGCAAGATCTTAGAGTTATTTGTAAATTCCCTAAGTTTCCACAGAAAGTTAAAGTGATTGTCTGGAGTTTGTCAGAAAGAGAGAGAGGTACTTGATTTGAAAAAAACGACGCAAGCTCCCTCCCCCTTCCTTTCTGATTGGTCTACACCTACGTTTCTGTACCACTTTCAAATGTTAATCAGAGAACATATTATACATGTACATTATTAATACTCATGCACGGAGGTTTTCAGAATTATTTGTTAACGTTTTAATGAAAAAAATAATGTTTTTATGCACAAAAAAAGCGATCGCGGCAAACCCGGAAGAAGCTATCATCATGAATTGCACATTGTAGGACACATCTGCAGAGGATCTGATTATGGTGTTAGGATTAGATAGCGATTTGGCCTACGTGCAGGACTATACAAGGACTCTGATGGACTCCATGTTTTGACTATGATATACTCGTGACTGTCTCTGTGTGACACGTATGTCTTTCGATGTGTGACGTGACAATGACTATATAAACTGTGTACTGACTCCATTTTGTCTGAGAGAAAGAAACAATTGAAACGACTGGAACTTGAGAGAAACTTAAATAAACTTCCAGAGTTTGGCGCACCACGATCCGTCTCGGTCTGGTTCATTCCTGACAATGGATATAGATTCAGTATATACATAAATACCTCAGCGCAGATGTTCAGAATGCTTTGTTCAGTTTTCATGAAGTTTCAGAGCCTAATAGAGGCTTGATTCGGAGGCTCCGTAAAAACAAACAACTGAGCATGCGCACAGCTGCGAGCATCAGCGCTGATGATTGACAGCCCTTGGCATGACTCGATTGGTTAACATGGACGGCATCCTCCGGCCAGGAGGTCAATTTAACACATTTCCTAAAATTTGTAATTCATTTAGAGTTACAGACTATCACTTTAAGATGCTGGCAAGATTTCTTAAGAGTATGGTTGGTGTTTTTGTCCCATCTCAAATCGTTGGACAAAGTTAGACCAAGAAAGTTACACTCTTCAACAATCTCCAATCTCTTTATCCATATTTGTATGTATATAGGATGACAGAATAATGCATGGGTAAAGAAATCAGGCTTTGACAAGATATAGCACATTATTCACCTTCAGTAGGCTCCCATCTCCACTCAGTGAGCTTTTATAAACTTTCTTCTGTTTGCCAGTGCTGACGTCAAAGAGCCTGTCAATCAATATATCAGACATAATGAATGATGACTGAATCCTAAAGGGCTCAGTGAAAACATGTTTCCACAACTGGACCTGAGGCACCTGGACCTGAGGCGGCAGTACCTGAGGCAGCAGTACCTGAGGCAGCAGTACCTGAGGCAGCAGTACCTGAGGCAGTGGTCTTGACCAGCCACGGCCATAAGTCGGCCACTCGGGTCCACGCTGATGTCGCACAGAGTGCTCCTGGTTACCATGTGATGAGAGCGGAAAAACTGCACCGTGCCCTCTCTCTGAGGAGAAGCAAGAGGTCAGTTTGGTCAGTTTGAGGAGACACAGTCTGAGAAGACACAGTCTGAGAAGACACAGTCTGAGGAGACACAGTCTGAGGAGACACAGTCTGAGGAGACACAGTCTGAGAAGACACAGTCTGAGAAGACACAGTCTGAGAAGACACAGTCTGAGAAGACACAGTCTGAGGAGACACAGTCTGAGGAGACACAGTCTGAGAAGACACAGTCTGAGAAGACACAGTCTGAGGAGACACAGTCTGAGGAGACACAGTCTGAGGAGACACAGTCTGAGGAGACACAGTCTGAGGAGACACAGTCTGAGAAGACACAGTCTGAGAAGACACAGTCTGAGGAGACACAGTCTGAGAAGACACAGTCTGAGGAGACACAGTCTGAGAAGACACAGTCTGAGGAGACACAGTCTGAGGAGACACAGTCTGAGAAGACACAGACGCAGATGCCAGGGTCAGGCGGTGCAGAGAACCTCCAACACTGATCATTTGTGTGCTTTGTAACTTAAGTTTTAAGAAAAGTGAACAGAGATTACTCTAAGAACTTTTCTGCATTTTCCAGGTAAGGTTTACTCAAGAGGAGGGGTGTTCAAATGCTGTGTCGACCCATGGCAATAGTGGGAAAGGCAGGCGTGTTGTTTGGATCCCCATGTGAGCAATCGACTATGGACCAGTTTGGTTTTAACTTGCTTATGATATATATTTTTGTACAGATTGTTATTTATTAAATTAGTTTTCTGTACAATAACATGTCTGTGTGTTCTTGTTTGTGTTTTTGGAATATAAAAATAAAATGGATGAGGTTGACAGTAATTTCAACCATTTAGACAATAATAAATACGTTAATTAAAAAGTCATTAAAATTGTGCTAAAAGACGTCTTTAAATTAATTATTTACACCCAAAGATATTGATTCTAAGTCTCAGTTCTGAAAAAATGTCCTGACCTGAATTTCATTTTCAGAAGATTATGCAACTTAAGACTCCCGCCCCACTGACCCAGAACAGAAGCAACAACAAGAAGCCTTTTGTCATATGTGATTAGTTTTGAAAAATACTGCTTGATTATATGAAAGACATTACAAAAACAGAAATGTAGAAAACTTTTACCCGATGAGCAGTGTGGAAATAGATGCTCTTGTCGGTGCCACAGCTGATCAGCCGCACTCTGCCGCCATGAACTGAAAAAATAAAATACATTATTGTGGTGAAGTGGAGGACATTTTTACATTTGAAAAAAAAAAAAAAACTGTATGTGACAAACCCACCAACGCGGATACACCATGTTTCATGAATTAAGCTGTAAACTGGAGCCCACTATCTCAGTTCTGAGCCAGGACTGACCCTGCAGGTCTGGCTCAGAACTGGCTTTTAAAGTGCTGTATAAAACCAATGCTTTATTAATTAAACCATATATAGGAGCTTTTGATTTGATTGCTTTTTTTTACCAGCAGTGTCTACGATGACATCTCACTAAAGAAACTCAGAATTAAAAGAAAATAAAAAATTAAATACTACTTTAACAATAATGATAAAATGTGGAGTAAAATAATCATAGTTTTGCACAGTGTTCAAAAAAGAACAATACAATACAAAACTGGATCATTTGTGGTCCAATTTGTGACCTCAACTGCAATGTCAAAACGAGGACACCCAACTCTCAAACCAGAAAAAAAAAAAGGTTTGTACATGTGTGTATCACCAGTGAAGATGAGTGCGGTGATGGAGGAGGAGTGGTCATCCAGCGTCTGCAGCAGGCTGTAGTCCGAGTCCAGGAGGTGGATCAGGCGGTCTCTGCCTGCTGTGGCCAAGAGACGCAGCCCTGGAACAGAAAAACAAAACAGACCAAAGTCCAAATAATCAATAACACGTTTTTAACCATGTTACAACATTGTTCCCTCTTCAGCTACAGACCCGGAGTTGTATTTAGATCCATCCACTTTATTATCAAGAACTTCTGACAGAAACATTGTAACTCTGCCACCGGTGTCTAAAATCTCCTGTCTCAGTCTTGTCAAAGTATGATGATATTGTACCTTTAGCTTCAGGCGTGTAAGTAAGTAAGTCATTTTTATCTATTTAGCGCCTTTCACAGACCAGAGTCACGAAACGGTTTTCAATTGTTGTGGGCATTTGTCTCTAACTCCACATAGAGATGGGAGCGGGGACGCCTGTACACAGGAGGCGCACCTATTGCACATGTTTTTAGTGGTAGGAGACACCAAAGCACCCAGAGGAAACAGACACAGACACAAGGAGAACATGCAAACTCCACACAGAAAGGTCTGGAGGTGGAATCAAACCCAGGACCTTCTTTCTTTTCAACATCTGTAGTTCAGTCGTCTGACATTGATACATGTTTGTGTTGTTAGTATGTTTCCTGTTGTTCTCCCTCACTCTGCCCCTGATCATTATGCTCAATATCCTCTTTCTCTTTTACTGCTGTTCGCCAAAATGCACATAAAATATGCATGAAGTACACTATAAAATAACCGATAAATTCAGCATTACCGGGATAGAAATAAAGGCAGCAGTTTTCCCTCAGCCCATTTACTGTCCTTACACTAGGTCATGTTGCCCTGTGGATTAAATAAACCTGAAGCATTTTTGCTCTGTAACACTTTCTTGCTGCTGGGTGCATAAACAATGGAAATGTATGTGAAATGTTTTCATATAAAGCCATGATTCAAAAGGTTGTAATCTACATGATCTAATTGAGTGACAGTGAGAGTGACAGCGCACTTAAAATGTTACACTTACCACTCACACACCGCAAAGCACACACACGTACACACAACACACTCACTGCGGAGAGCACACACATGCACCAATGCATTTCTCGTGTTGGCAACGCAGCACCGTTCAGATACAGTTGGTGTTGTTAGGGAGAGAGGAAAGGCATTTGCAAGGAGGGTGATCTAACCACAGGCACAGCGTACTTTAAAAAATGACTACAGTATTTTTATCAGATATAATTCATGTCTGAACGTGCTTAAGAATAGCTTTATTTATCCTACATACTTGCTTCACCATATATTTTCTACTGAAGATATCATTTCACATTCTAAAACATGAAAGGTCAAAGTGTAAAAATATTTTGTAATACCCATATTTGCAAGTTCAGATCCATGATATGAATGGACTTACAGTGTATGCAGGGGTGTATGAGGAAATGATTATGGGTATATTTGTTTTACTTTTCAGCTTGAGCTGTTTTTTTTTTTGTAAACTATGTAGCGTTGTTGGTCCCAACCCGGACATTGATACAATCAGCGCCCTCACCTGTTTCCGGGCGGCTGTATTGCAGACAGAGGATTTCTGCATGGTGGACGCCCACTTTAAGAATCTGCTCCATGCTGCTCAGCTCATGCACTCTGAGGAAACAGGTGAGAGATCGTTTTAAAATATATTCTGATGTAAATAACATTTCCAGTCCGGCAATTAACTTTTATTTCTTAAATTGCAAACTTTTAATTCTTCAAATGTATGAAATAATAACCATGATGCATTGCAGGCCCTTAAAGAGGAGAATGAGACTATTTACTTTGGTGTGTCCTGTTAAGAAATATAGGATAGTATCTTAAACAGTAAATATATTCATAAATATGTAATGAATACACAAAGTATCTCAGTATGTTTATCCTCACTCACCAGAATCAAACGTTTTAACATTGCATGCTCCCATTGTTGCAAATAACCTAGTTTCAGACAAGAACTGAACTCTGAAGGAGGGTTCTTAGATAATCTTTTGGCTGAATTGGACATTCTGGAGCTGCTTTCGTAATTTTACCATTTTAGAATTTCATTGACGTCTTTGTATTTTGTTTTGTTGTGCTTGTGTACAGTATGTACAGTGTGTTGCCGTTTTGCATTTGCAGAGTGCTCGTGAAGAAAAGTCTGGAGCAGTCACTGAGACTGCCCATGTCGGTGACACATACATTTCAACGAAGGAAATAGGCGTCACTACGTCCGTTAATATTTACGATCTCTGGTCTTACCTCAGAACACCAGAGTGGTCTCCTGATGCCAGGTGTTTTCCATCAGGTCTGACACAGATGCTCCTGATGCCGGTTCTGCTGTCTGCACCCAGCACCTCTGCACTTCGCTCGGTAGTCAGGCTGGAAGTGCTTTCTGGATCCACCATAACCACTGGGCTTTTGTCAACCTGTAGTGTGTGAACCAAGTCCTGCAATAGATACATCAACAGGACCAACTTGAGGGAATTTATACTCAATTCTCACCTGTAAAAGCATGTCAGATCTACTGTAATAAAATGAATTAATACACTAGCAATAGCAGCTTTGTGCAGTCTCGCATATATATATATTTATCTGTGTTGTAAATATTATCCTATACTTGCATGACTGGTTAGATGCTAAACTACATTTTATGGATTTGTTCTTATGTAATGACAATAACATGTAATCTAATCTAATTTAAAATAACTCCAGGGGAAAAAATGCTCCATTGGCTCCTTGTAGAGTATAGAATAAAAATTAGAATGAAATAACTGTATATAAAAATGGTAAATATAAAAATAAGTGAACAAATCAAACCTTGACATCTTATTAGAGAACATACTGCATACTTGCAAGAAAGAGCCCGGTGAGTCACTATATGAAGTTTTGGGCTGAGAGCAGATTGATGGTCCTCTCTTTTTCACTTTTGGCCTATGTCACATTTCAGATCAGCGGAAGATGTGACAGAGTCCAAAAATACATGCATGTGAAAACTCTGTCTTGATTATTAGTACCTTTCCTTTTTTGTGGTTTCAAAGTTGCACACCCCAGCTTTAATATTTAAATTTCTCTGTGGGAATTCTACGTTTCTAAGTTTATCTGTTCAACAACTCAGTAACTCAATGCAGCGTCTCCTATTTATGCACATTCACACAGGTCAAAGTGAAGTCATACACACAACAGTCAGGAGGTTTGTGGAGCGGTGAGGTGGACGGCTCATGCGCCACATTCGGATGGTGTTGTCGACAGAGCAGCTGAGGAAAGCATCACGCAATAGACCTGACTGGCACAGGGCATCGGGGAACATCTGCAAATGTAAAAATGAGAGAAAAAATAGGATTCTAACAATCAAGGCAGTGCCTGCATCAAGCTTCATATCGCGAGGAAGCTCCATCCAAGCAGATGCTTAATTCACGCCGCAACCCTCCTCCTCCCCATCTCTGCTTTGTTCCAGGTCACCTCTTTCATCCTTCTCCTAACTACCACCAGCAGAAGGGTCTAGGCCCCGGGGGATTTCATCTTATAATCGGTTTCCCCTTCTGCAATCGTGCAGTGCTCTGCCGGGGTCTAAGAGCCAAATCTGATCCACATTTCTGTACATGTAATCTTGAAAATATTGTCCTCAGAGTAATATGTGTAATTCCTGCAGTGTCAGATTACTGCCAACCATTATACAATTCTAATAATACCATGTTTTCTCTGTTGGAGTCAGATTGAAATATATGAATGCTCTAACCTGCAGGTCCCACACACAGCTGCTGTGGTAAGCAGCAGACCAAAGCGTGTCCACTCTGCCCACTCCGTCCTGCAGGCCCCACACACACACACTGTGGTCACTGAACACAGCGCTGAGATGGACACAGCCCGAGTCACAGGCGAGGGCCACCACAGCAGGGGAACCGCCCCCACTGAAGCTAGAGGCGGGGCTGTCCAGACACACAAACACAGCTAATGTGAGCTAAAGGGCAGCACAGCGGCACAGTGGCACAGCGGTTAGTGCTTGTGCTTCACAGCAAGACAGTCCTGGGTTGGATTCCAAAGAGAGGCCAAAACGGTGCAAAATGAAGGATGAATATATGAAAGATACTGCGCCTGCCAATTAGTAGATTAAATCTCTTCTGTGTTTTTCCCCAGGTCAGCAATATTTACCACCACAGAATGCATTGCCTGTGAAGGTCTCTCTCAAGGATTGTGTATTACTCCCCCATATGATCATTGTGCTGATGCAGGAGGGTCTGTTGGACATTTAGTGTCTAACAAAAAGGACTGTGGTGATGATCCAGGACACTTTAACATTCTACAACATGTGTGGACATTTATCACCATGTGTTCTATATTCTTTTTGTGTCGAAACTGTTGATTCTCTGATCTGTGTTGGTGATTTCAATGGTTTTGTTCAGTCTGAGATGATACTGTTGTGATTTAGGGATATACAAGAGGTGGACCTGATTAAGCGGTTCACAGGGGGTTAGATGTTACATAAAACCATGATAGACATTGATGAAAATATTTTATGTGTTGAAATTTTACATTATGGAAGAAGTTTGGAGAAATTATTACTTTGACTAAATATGGGATAGTTTTTTGTTTGATGGGTTTTTCTAAATGTAATTATATATCAATGGATAGGTGAAGAAGAGCCTAACCAGAGCAGGGTTGAACAGTCACCTGGTCTGGGAGGGTGCAGAGGTATCAGATGGGAGTGGATGAGGGTGAAGGTGAGGGTGAGGGTGGGGCAGGGTGCAGATGAAGCTCAGGTCAGTGATGGCGAATATTTTAACTGTCCCATCGGAGCAGCCGCAGAACAGCAGGTCCTCCGCCACGCACAGGGAATGAGCTGCAGGAGTCTGAAGGGACACAAGAGCAAACACCAAATAGTATACAAACCCTAAATCAAGAAGCAGGAACAGAGGTGGATATTTTTAGTACATATTTTAAATCTATCATCCTCAAATGTTAAGACTGGGGACCTAACTTTCAAATCATGTGATTAGATTTATCGAACTAGTTCCTTGCTCTCAGTTTGGAGTTTTCTTCTATAACTATAGCTTTCTCGTGCATTTAAATTATAAAGCGAAGACCACTCTCACTCAACTCTCAGAAGAGACAAAAAGCACAGGATTCCTTCTTAAAATTATGAAAGTGTAACATGTTTTGTAATAAGAAGAAGAAGACATGCTGTGGTCTGATTTGATAACAATACTTTACTTAAAGTCAAAAATACATGCATATGAACTACTGATAGAAACCAACTATTTTGATTGATTGGTTGTATTTTATTTCAAGCTTATAAACATGAATCAATTATAGATTTAACAGCAATTACATATAATACATGATAGAAATGTTGTATATGTACATACATACATCCATTTTTATATATATATAGACATTCATATATTTAGATTTTTATGCTCCTACAAACGCCCTCTTCATCAAATTAAAAACATTAAAATTTCATGACCTTGTTGACCTAAACACTGCGATTTTCATGTACAAAGCCCATAACCACCTGCTCCCTCAGCGCATACAGGAGAGGTTCAAACCTAGAGAGAGTCCTTATGAATTAAGAGGTGTGTATGTCTTTAAGAAACCAAATGTGAGAACCAGTTTAAAAAGTAGATGCATCTCTGTCAGGGGGGTTCATCTTTGGAATGGCCTGGATGAGCCACTCAAATGTTCCACCTCAATTCACACATTTAAAAAGCGCTTTAAGGCTATTGTTGAAGAAAAGTATAAATCACTAGAATAATAATAATAATAACCTGTGTGTATGCAGGTACAGGTATAGGTGTATGTTTGTATGTGTGTGTATGTATATATATATGTATATGTATGAATGTGTGTATGTGTATTTAAATCCATGTATAGATATATATATATTATATACATAAAAGGAAGAAAATTAAAATAAATAAATAATAATAATAAAAAATATATATATATATATATATATAGATATATATATCTATATATATATGTCATACTATGTGTTTATGTATATAATGTGATTACAAGGAATATTTCTTTGAATTAGTACAAACTATTTATTTTCTTACAGTATTTCCAAATACAATTTTCATTGTAAGCTCTGTGGATCCGCTACATTGTATATAATTTTGTTACATTTGTATAAGTAAGAAATGTAATTTTGTTATTTGTTAATAGGGTTAGGCGAAATAAGTGTTAAACTTCAGCCTAACCCTTTCGGTCAGTATATAATTTATAATTTGTGAATGTCAAATGTTTTCTTATTTTCTGCTGATGGCCGAAGAATAAACGAATATATAAATGAAAAAAATATATATATATATATATATATATATATATATATATATATATATATATATATATATATATATATATATATATATATATATATATATATATATATATATATATATATATATATATATATATATATATATATATATATATATATATATATATATACATACATACATTATTATTTTTCACTCTTCACTGTTAAAGAGTGAATAAGGTGGATTCATTTCATAGTTCCATTTTTTGTAGTTTGAAAGTGTGTTTGTTTGGTTGACATAGAACTATTAGAACAAGTGAGAGCTGAGGCAGGCTCACCCTCAGGTCCTGCCACTGGTCCAGGACCCTGCGCTGGTTGAGCTGGCACAGCAGACCAGAGGAGGTGATGCAGAAAGTGCAGTGGGAGTGTGAGCCACGCCCACAGGCCACCGCGGTGAAGCAGTGGTTCTTGTGCTCTCCCAACAGCCCCGGCCGTCCCAGCAGAGGTACAGGGGCCCCACACTGAACACAGACAAGATCCAATGAGAGTTTGGGAATGGCTTTAGATTTTCTAGCAAAGCTCATCTGGAATGTGAGACAGACTTATTACAGACTATTAACTTCAAATACTTCCAAGAAGAAATATTACACATTTCTTTTATCCATAAAAAATTGCAATGAGAATACTTGATTTGTTATTTCATGTTTTATTTCAGCGAATGTGGAGCAATTTTGGGTTTGTGATTTTGTACTGGGAAACCAAACATGAGAGACTCCTTCTGCTCTCAGACTGACCCCTTGAAAATTGTAAACTGGAAATTGTGTCTATTGAGGTCATCTTTTTACGTTAACATTATCTCCAGTTTAAACGTTTGATCAGAAAAGGTCAATATGATGTGTACCTGTTGATCATTTAACTAGGGACACATACAAAAGATGTTCTCCTCTCCCGCTTCATAACAAAAATTGCAAATCAAATCGTAATCACATTGGTTATCAAAATAAAATCGCAATTGGATGTTTCTTTAAAATTACGGATCCCTCGTAGACTTAACGGTAAATCCAGAGCTTTGACTATAGGCGCTGCTCCCTCTTCACCACAACAACGTCTTACTGTTGCAGCGTCCTCGTGTAAACTGGCTCTGAGAACTCCCTTTAAGGCTGGAGAGGGCTGTGACACATTTGACTAGATTTTGGGTGAAAATGTATGTGTAATTCTTACCCATTTCCTCTATATGTTGCAATACTAAAATAATGGTCTGTTTCTAAGTTCCAGAAGTCATTAGTGCCTGCATCATACAGTACAGTATATACATTATAAGGTACATAGAGTATAACATTAAGGTCAACAATTCCATTTCTATCACTTTAACATTCACAACAGCCTTCAGTCTGTTGCATGGCATTTATAGGCTGTACAATGATGTCATCTCAATACATTATGTAGAAACGCCGTGAGACCGATCGCAAATGACCTATTTTCGAGCCGCATGTCCGCCGGTGGTACTGGTTTATTTAACTGTGTTTCCATGGTTACCAGTGTCCCTAAAGTTTACCTGAGGCAAGGCAACTCGCAATTAACCAACAAAAGGCTGGAGAACAGGCACACAGCGATGCAGCTTTACATAAGCAATGACATGTCCAATGAAGGTCAACACGTAACAGCCTCTCTCTATATTAGTGCAAATCTGCTAGTTTTAAAAGATCTATTCACTGATGATGAATGGGAGGGTTCATGACTGTCCCGTACCGGTGGGATGGGGGGGGGGGGGGGGGGTTGTTGCCGTACCTTATTGCTCTCACAGGGATCCAGGTACCAGAACTTGACGTGCCGGTCTCCCACAGTGACAAAGTAGGAGCTATCCTTAGAGAAAGACACTCCAGTCACTTTACAGGAGACTTTGTTGGCAGCCTCCAACGAGTCTTTCTGTAGGAAGCAGAAAAGGTGTGTGAAAAGGGGTATGTTTTCACCTGGGTGTGTCCGTCTGTCCCTTAGAAACATCAACATCAGCAACTCAAAAAGGTGTGAATTTTCGGAAAATTGTGGGAATAGGACCAGGAAAAAATTGCTTGATTTTAAAAGTTTGGATTGAGGGTCTATGCTTTAATATTAAGAAATTAAATTAATTTTTTGAGACTTCTTTAAAAGATGGCAACAGTGGTAGTTAATCAAGCAGAAAAATGTACAACTCGCACCTGCAACAAACGAAGCCAATTACCGGATCTGATTATTGAGAATAAGTAGATTTTTGACTAATTTATCTGCTTGAATAACAACATATTATTTATAGTAGAAGATATTGAGCTTCATAATCTTTCATAATGTGAAATTCAGACCTAAAGTGCAATATGTATCACCACCAGTAACATTCACTGGAGGAGATACACCAATGGGGACCATCGAGTGTTAAAAGTTTTTTTTTAATTTAGAGAATGGCTCTGTCCTTTATATTTTAGTCCAAGGATTTATCAGAGCATAACACGTTTGGAAACACAACATTGGGACAGAATGACCAGGGGGGACATGTGATTTTCAACTGGGGATCTGATACGCACCTTCCAGGCCCACACATGGACCATCATGTCGTGCTGGTTTCCCACACTGACTATGTATTTCCCATTTGGAGAAAAGGCCACACAGGAAACTCCATATTTGTGCGTCTGAAGCTCTGCCACCTGCCGAAGCTCGGACACAGCCCAGAGACGCACGGCCGGTAAGTGTCCACTCTGGAAGCAAACAAGGAACATTCTGAAAACACTTGTGTGCGCAATGTCTGGGAACACAAGACTAGAACTCACAGTGACCCTCAGACAAATAATACAAATAATAATGCATCAGTTTTCTATTGCGCTTTTCTGAACAAAGATGCTTCATTATTTCACTCCATACACACTGGTGATAAACTTGTCATGGGGTGGATTTGTAGTTTTTTTGTACTTTTAAATGGACTTCTCCATTGTCCTTGTCTGTTCATCCTCGCCTGTCTTTTTCCTGGTTCCCCTTCATCTCCCCACCAGACAAAACTACTGCTAAACTTAGGCTGAGTTTATACGGAGGCGCTGCGCAGACGTTGCCAGGCTATTAACAGAAAGACCAGGCTCCTAATGCAAATTTCACAGCGTTCATAGGAGGTTGAACTGTACAACACAAAACGCATGACCCCCAGCACCCCCCAGCAGTACACTCACTTCCTCTACAAGACGTTAAAGATGCACCAACATCATTCTGCATTTAACAGAAAATGGTTGTGTCTACTAAGAGAAGCAACCATTGGCCCCCCTAACCACCGATTCTTCACAAGTTCACACACACACAAGACTCGGATCACTGCGGGCCCCTCTCTCCCTGTACATGGACTGTTCTAATAACTCCCCACAGGCTGGAGGCTAAAGTCCAGAACCTCCCGCCATCACAACATGCAGATAATAGAACACATATGTGACAATATAAGTGTTTGGTTTAATTGTTGTCTAAAATTTTTTTTTCAAAATCAGGTTCCAAAGACAATAAAATGTAATGTCAAAGGTCAAATAAATTATCTGGGAAAATGTTCACCCGACACTTTCTGTAGGGTCGTTATGTCCCGAACCTAAGAACATTATGCAGTTTACCAAAGAGTTCTGAATAATGTTTATCTACAGCTTGAATGGCACATTGTATCTTAATCCGCTGCGGCCAATCAGGGCCGATTAAAGCCGCCTCTGTGTAAGTGGATGAATGGTTGCCATGACGTCGAGGAGCAAAGTTTGAAAGACCGAAATACTGTGAGGATTGTGCTCCGCTGAAAAGGTCTGCCTCGGTGAATATAGTCAGGCCAGTGTTGATCACATATGAGCAGAGTTTAGAAAAAGGAGCATCAGGGAGAAATAATATCTTAACCAGGAAATAATAGTATGAAAGTTGAAAAAAAATCTTCCCTATGCTACCACCAAAGGGATTTTTCAAATGTTTACAAAATTTGAAAATTACCAGCTGCAAACATAGACATGCGATTGTGAGAAATTAGAATTACCAAAACTAATGTATGGGTAATACTGTTCTGAGCGTGATGTCATCGTGGTACACTGACATCATACTATCACAGGACTGACACAGGAGCTTATATGAGAAAAATGTTTTATCGTCAATTGTAACAGTGCATTGGTAAATAACGAGCAGCCAAATTAAAGCGCTTTGCGTGACCTTGGACTGTAAAAATGAGCTATATAAAACTTCCAACCGATTTAAGACTGGAATAATACTTGGGCCAATGCAGCATCTACAATTATAATATATGCTTCTCTAATATTGATAAAAAAAGAGAAAGTGTTGTGATCCGCTCTAATTAACCACACACCTCTCCAGTGACCAGATACTTTCCATCAGGGGAGAAGGACAGAGCTGTGAAGGTCTTTCTGTGAGGAGGAAACACACAGATCAATGACCATTTCAACCTCAAAGAGACCAATGGCACCATGAATTAATTAATGTATACATATACTTTCAGCTGAATATACAATTTAATTCTAAACATGTAATTACATTGTAAATTGTCTAATTGATTTGATTTCAACAAAATAAAAATAATTTCTTAAGATTTATTCTTCAATAGAAAAGCTGAAATGTTGCATACTGTGAAGTGTTGATGATGTGCTGCTGTCGGTTCTCTGCGCTCCACAGCACGACCACACATCTGAACAGGGATTCAACATCCACCATTATATATTATATATTATTATATTTGGTGAATAATATGGCTAATGCTTCATTTGATCGTAGCCTTTTTACAGAGGTATTTGGACACAAGGTTGATTCAATGAATCTGCTTTGTTAACATTCTGTAGCTATGCTTTTCTTAGCTAACATGAACTACACAAATAATAATTAGCATTATTCAAGCATAATTATGACTGAACAGTAAATTCATTCACTTCAGGATTGAGCGCATACAGTAAAGTGCTTTAAAACTAATGCTTACTTTCCAGCTTTAGAGTTTAAAGAGCGGCACGACCTACAGTAGGTTGTCTTTTAAAGTGAATGTTGTTAGGGTGGAAGTCCAGCCTCTCTGAATAAAATGCTTTCATCTCTAGTTTCTGTTCGGTCCTATACTGTCTTACACATCTTCTCAGTCTCCTCCTGAACTGTTTTGTATTTTCAAGTCCCAGGTGATTTCCCACCTCCAAAAAGTCACTATTGTTGCTTTAAGTAGTATTGGCTTCATCACACACTTCAGGGCATATTCATGAAGGGTGATTAATATTGACGCGAACTGATTTATCATGCACTGGTGCAATAGAACTAAAAGCACTAAGTTGCACATGATGTTATTGGTGATTGATAAATACATGCTGATTGATCAATTCTGGGATGCGAGGCTCAGGGGGAAGAGGATTTCTTTCTGGTTATTTTTTAGAACATAATCCTTGCAATAAAGGAGGGAACACAGCCGTTGTTAAACAGACACAACATAACTGTAACTTTGCTTGTTTGTTTGTAGGGCTCCAATCCTGCAACTAATTTATAACATTTATAACAAATCCATATGTGATTTTTATCTCAATTTGATGCAGAAAGAATCCGCTGGAAGACATTCCAAATAAAACTATTTGATTATTACGAGGCTCACTACCAGAACAGTCGAGGAATGCACCTTTGAATGACAGATAAAGTCTGGCTAAGTTCTTTCTCCTAAAGACATCTTCTACCACTAACACTCAGAGGATGCTTCCACAGTTAAGTCCCAAGTGCACCAGAGTTCACTTTACATAAACCAACAAGGCTTTGTGAAGACGTGAATCCACCAAACTGACTTCACGACTTAAATCAATCAATCAATCAATCAATCTTTATTTATAGGGCGCTTTTCCTGCACAGGGCAACACAAAGCGCCTCACAGTCCACACCACACAATGCACAAATCATCACCATTAAAATACAATTAAAAACACATATGTAATTAAAAAGCATTAAAATCACATAAGTAATTTAAAAACATAAGAATCACACAAGTAATTAAAAACAATAAAATAGTTAAAAACACAAAAAGTTACAACAATAAATAACAAGGTGTGTTAAAAAGATAAAATTCTCTAGTTGTATGCACAGGAAAAAAGAAAAGTCTTTAACATGGATTTGAACATTGACAGAGAGGCAGCCAGTCTCACATCCTCAGGAAGACTGTTCCAGACTTTAGCTGCATAAATCTGAAAAGCAGCCTCCCCCTGTCTAGTCCTGACTCTGGGCACTAACAGGAGTCCCGTCCCTGCGCTCCTCAGAGTCCGGGCTGGTTCATATGGGACTAGCATATCATGGATGTACTTTGGTGCAAGGCCATGGAGAGACTTGTACACCAGGAGAGCTGCTTTAAAGTCTATCCTCTGGGCCACGGGAAGCCAGTGCAGAGACCTGAGGACCGGACTAATGTGGTCGTACTTCCTGGTTCTAGTCAGGACTCGAGCTGCAGCATTTTGAATATACTGCAGCTGTTTTACTGCATGTTTGGAGATACCTGTGAGCAGGCCATTGCAGTAATCCAGCCTACTGGAAACAAAAGAATGGATAAGAATCTCCAAGTCTGCCCTGGACACAATATTTTTAATTTTGGCAATATTTTTCAGATGATAAAAAGCTGCTGATGTTACCGATCCAATGTGGCTATTGAAGTTTAAGTCAGAGTCCATTATTACTCCCAGATTTCTGACCTTATTTAAAGGCCTTAGGGAGAGAGACTGAAGGTGACAAATGACGGTCTCTCTTTGTTTCTCGGGACCAAAGACAATCATTTCGGTTTTGTCTGCATTTAGCTGGAGAAAATTGCATTGCATCCACTCACTGATCCGCTGGATACAGCGAAGGAGTGAGTCCACCGGTCCATGCTCTCCTGCAGTCAGTGAGACATAGATCTGAGTGTCATCAGCGTAATTGTGGTAGGACACTTTCATACTTTGAATTAACTGACCTAATGGCAGCATGTAAATATTGAACAGGAGAGGTCCCAGAATCGACCCCTGTGGCACTCCGCAGGTCAGGGCCATATTATCTGAGACATAGTCTCCAATCTCCACACAATACTTCCTTTCTTCTAGATAGGACCTAAACCAGCTTAGGGCAGTACCAGCAACACCAACCCAGTCCTCCAGTCTCTGCATGAGAATCTCATGGTCAACGGTGTCGAAAGCGGCACTCAGATCTAACATGACTAAAACAGAGACTTTTCCTGCATCAGTGTTAAGCCGAATATCATTTGTTACCTTGACTAGAGCGGTCTCAGTACTGTGGTGTGGTCTAAAGCCAGACTGAAACATGTCAAATGAGTCATTAGATATTAAAAATTCAGTAAGTTGTTGGTAGGCAACTTTTTCAAGAATTTTTCCCATGAATGGCAGATTTGAGATGGGACGGTAATTTTCAAGTACCGCAGCATCCAAACTGCTCTTTTTTAGGAGGGGCCTGATGACTGCCTTTTTCAGGGCCATTGGAAATGTTCCAGATAAAAAAGACATGTTTACTATTTGTGTCAATGAGGGTAATAGACTACACATAACAGACTTCAGAAATCTAGGAGGTAGTACATCCAGACTGCAGGTAGAGGAACTAAGACCTGTGATTATCTTTTTAACAGTTTCATCATTGACAGGTGCAAATTGAGCTAGCTCACAAAGCCTCACTGGATGTTGCATTGTTACTTGTGTTGTAGAGGTGATGGTATTTCTGATACCCTGAACCTTGTCTCTGAAGAACTGTGCAAACTCATTACACCTGGATTTGGAGTAGTGTTCTAATGGCAACTCAACAGGGGGGTTCGTTAATCTATTGATTGTTGAAAATAGAACACGCAGATTATTGCTGCAGCCTTCAATAGTTTCAGAAAAGTATAATTCTCTTGTTCTACGTAGTACTCTGTTAAACTCACACAACTTCTCTTTTAAGAGTTTATAATCACCCTGGAGGTTGGACTTTCTCCACTTTCTCTCTGCTCTCCGGCACTCTTGCTTCTGTGCCCTGACCGGGCCTGCTTTTATCCATGGGGCTTTTTGCTTATTTGTGACCATTTTTACCTTCACAGGGGCAATGGCGTCCAGAACATTCAACACACTAGAGGTGACAGAGTTAAACAGTTCATCTACAGTAGAACATGATGTGTTCTCAAAATGGATCATTCCCATAAATAGTTCACCCGTGTTTTCATTTAAGTGTCTACTTCTAACAATTTCATATTTAGCGGGTGGTCTGGTAGCAAAATACATGTTAAAAAATACACAGAAATGATCCGACAGAGCAACATCAACTACATTAACTTTTGAAATATTCACCCCTTTCGTGATAAGCAGGTCCAGGGTGTGTCCTCTGCTATGGGTGGGGCCACTCACATGCTGAGTGAGGCCAAAGGATTCAAGTATGGAACTCAGCTCTTTTGCGTATCTGTCATTAACATTATCCACATGAATATTAAAATCGCCTATAATGACTAAACCATCAAAATCTGTGCACACAACTGAAAGCAACTCAGTGAAATGATCAGTGAAACTATGGCATGACTGTGGCGGCTTGTACACAACAATAATAAGAATGGAAGAAGATTTCTTTTGTTCTATTTTTAAAAGAAACATACTCAAATGATGAAAATTTCCCAAGAGACACTCTATGGGAGACAATACGATCTTTAAAAACTGCTGCTATGCCCCCCCCCCCCTTTTATTTTCTCGTGTTTCATATTCAAATTTGAAATTTGGTGGTGAGGCTTCTATTAAAACTGCATCTCCTGTATTATGGTCAAGCCATGTTTCAGTCATAAACATAAAATCAAGATCATACGAACAGATAAAATTATTAATTAAAAATGATTTGTTGCATAGTGATCTGACATTAAGTAGAGCAAGGTTAAAATTAATATCAGTGTCAGTGGGTTTAGTTGATTGATTACAAAGAACTGGAATTAGATTTCAAGAGTTGGACCGTCTAACTGCTGTCCTTCTTTTAAATTTGTGTTTATTCAAGTTAAAACACATTTCTGAGCTGGTGCGAGGAACACACACAGTCTCTATTGGTTTAAAAAGTGAACTCTGTTGTACTTTGTTAAGTTCCAGATGCATAACTGAGTCAGCACAGTTCAGTGGCAGGACTGTCGTTACACTGCCAGACTGACAGGGGTCAGTGTTTGCACCACAGTACTCACCCGGTGCTGGTAAGGAGGAGGAGGAGGGGGGTGGTGGGGGCCGAGAAGCCTCAGATGTAAACAGTCACGCCCCCCTCGGGGAGCACTGAACAAATGACCACTGGAATGAACTACTGTTTTGAAACAGGATCCATTGGCTGCTTAATTCCTCCACAGTTATCAACAGTGTAAACACAGATTTGCTCACTGTCAGATATTTGGATAAAGTACTTTTGGCTGATTGTATTGTGTTTAGATGAACCATATTTGCAGGCACAATGGTTACACACTCACCCGGCTGGATATGCCACAAGCCCGGAGCTGGGGTCCAAGGCCAGGCTGTTGTTTCCGATGCTGGTGACTCCCAAGACCACTTCCAGAGTGACCTTAAGACCACATTGGACCATGTTAAATAAGCACAATCAACACAGAGTTTGGACAGATTTTTTGTGTGGAAAGTCCAGGTTTTTTTGTAGGTAAATCTTAACAACGCACAAGATTCCATGTTTTCTCACATTAAAACTCGCATTTTCATATTTTAGCTGTGAGCCGGTGCCCTGTCTGTACTGGTGAGGAGTTACTCAGAATGGGAACTGCTTTACAGCCTGAGATAAAGACAAAATGGTCAAGATCAGGTTTAAATAAAGGGCCAAAATGAAAACCCATAATGCTAAATGTGTGTTCTGGTGTCCCAAACCACAACAACTGAACTCAAAATATACAATGTTCTGTAGACAGCATGTTGTGGTCTGATTTGTTCGCAACATTGTACTTCTTAACATTCACACATTTTCTATTGGGACAAACAACATTCATTAGGTACCCCAACCTTAAACATGATCTTGAGAATAGTTACCTTCACTCATGATATGATGAGCCCAAAGCATTGATTAATTCACATCTTTACTCTCTGTTGGCCAAACTCAGGACTACCCATGGTGAGGCAGCATCTGGTCTTACATTTATGATTATGTCCAAATCCAGGTTAAAAACAGTTCTGTTTAGCCGTGCATACAACTGAAGGATTGTATCCTCACTCTTTGTAATGTACTGTAATTATGTATGAGTCAAATGACTTGAATGATCTTTTTTTTAAAAGCACTTGAGTTTCCTTGCGTATTAACTGGGCCATATAAATAAACTCGGACCAGAGAAACAGTTAGTTCCTAAAATTTGGGAAAATCCTCCATTATAACCGCAGCTTTAAAATCATACAATCTTGCTTTTATTGCTAATTATGGACTGGGGGACTATCATACTACAACTAGATCTTGGATACAGTAAAGAACTCACATTTGCCTGGCCGCTTAAGGACTCCTGCCTGCTTTTCCGAATCAGGCTCTTGATGCGTCCCCGGACAGTGACGCCATCCCTGGGCATGATCAGAGGAAGAACAGAGCTGGGTGGATGGATGGATGGATGGATGGATCGATGAAAGCCTCGTCAAGTCAGCGACATGCAGGCTGATCCTTCCCCCGCAGGAGACGAGCGGAGTCCCGATCGCGCTCCAAACATGTGCGTACTAATCTCTCCCTGCTTTTACGCACGGGGAGTCTATCAAACGTGCTTTAAACAAGAAACTATGGCTACAATGTTTATGCTCTATACATCTAGACAGCTTTGATCACTTACTCGAGGTGGGCGTGTGCTAAAGTTTGATTCCTCGTCCACTTCCACTTGAGGCCGATATTATTATAGATCCATGCCTGAGAAAAGTGTGTTTGTCTAACGCGATTAGGAAGTGATTTAAAGAGAGCGAAAGGCCAGGGATTAATAGCTCACTAATCTTTTAAATGGCAGTCTCATAAGCAACACATGTGCCATTGCTTTGTTGACTACATCATTTGTGGTAGCGCAAATTGTGCCAATAAACGTAGGGGACAAATAGTAGGTTGAACGTGTATTTATTATATATTAATATTATATTGACATTTTCATACTGATCACCAGACGTAAAACTTGAAATGATGTCATAGTAGAAAAAATAGATGGATGAAGAATGGACAGCTCCTCAGGATGGTAGTTTTAGTTTTAGGCTGTATCCGAACGTATAGTGTGGAGGTTCTGATACAGCCCTAATCTCAGGCCCGTTTAGACGGAGACGCTGCAAAGCAATTTGCAAACGACCAGGCTCCGCATTCACGTCAACATCCTCCTCAGACCGCTGCAAAGACGTGGAAGAATAAACCAACATTCTGCATTTAACAGCAGCTACGATAATAGAAACTGAAACTATAGCTTCGCGTGGTTTTGTTTGGACGAACCATAGATGGACGAACAGAGGAGTAGAATCCTCCTCTGTGTAGTAGCTAGATAGTGCACGCGCCGCCATTGTTGTTTAGGTCAGCTACTGCGCATGTCCAAGGTACGTGCGGTACGTGTTGAAGTCATTGTAGCCGAAGATTCACGCAGATGTGAAACAGCCCCCGCCCTGCAGCGTTTCTGTTCTGTTCCAATCTGGAGCCTGTTTCTCAACGCTTGCGTGTCTGTGCGAACAAGCAGCCAAGCAGATATCTTCCCTCAGCCAAATAGTAAAAATGTGGAATGGGCCTCACACATTGACATTGATATTAAATGATCAAATCTAGGCGATAATGGGTTGAGGAGGAAAATTTGACCAATATGGTGCCAATCATCTCCTTAGCACACCTCTCATACCATTCTTCCTATTAGAAATGATTACTTTGTAGACAAACATTATCATTATGATCTTCTAATCTAGATAACAGAAACTGTCAAGTCTGGTGTCGGTTAATAATGTTTGAACTCTCATGATGTATTCTTCTTTGGTGCAAAACAGATAAACACAAGCATTTATAAATATTTTGAATATTACTATGGCCCTGTCCCAATATGCACCTGCACGCTTCTGAAGCGCGTTCCTACGGAGGAAGGACGCACGTAAAAGGTGTATTGAAACATGTATGCCTCCTAAAAGAATCCAATTTCCCCAAAAGTAAAATTTTATTTATGTATTGATAAAGGCCACATGATTGACACCAGAGCAAACAGGAAGAGACATAAGTGGAGAAAACTCATAAAAAAACATTTACATAGAATTATTTCACACAATATTGCTCAAAGGAAGTGCAATTGCGCCAAAAACAGGTATGAATGTGTTGGAAAACGAGAAATAATGCCTTAAAATGTCAACAGTTTATACAAAGAATGTCTTCTTATCCCATCATTCAAAACACAAATGATCAGTGATTATCATGTAAACATTATTTGACAACAAAAAGCTCATGAAAGTGACATAATGTACCATTGTTCATGAATTCATTCAAGAAATACAGTTCAAGTAGAGTTTTTCCATTCTTTTTAGTCCTTAAGTAACAAGTCTTTAGTACGCAGCACAATGCCTCACAGCAAGTCCTCAGTTAAATTCTAGGAAGAAATATAGTATTTAAGTTCTCTCAAATGAAATTGACAAATATTCTACTTATTTGTGAATATTCTATGCTTTAAAACGTGATCTTCAAATATTTAATTTGCCTTTTTCTTACTTAACCTTTTAGGCACCAGTGGTTTGTTGGAAATGTGAAACAGACTAAAATACGGAGATGGAGAACTTTCTGACTCAAAAGACCGAATACATTTAAGGGAAATATGAAATTGTTCTTTGGAAGCGAGGGGTGCTGTATGGAAAGTGTTCTGGAGTCATGAGTCTGAATTCCACATCTTTAGCACCTTAAGGTTTGAAATGGGACGGGGAAACAAACGTATGGTTACACGTGTCTTTTGATGAAGGGAAAAGGATGCAACATGGTTAAAAACTCAAAAGAACATTTTGGATAACACGCGTCCTTTCAAAGGCGACTATGGAAGAGTTTTGTCACAGTGGAGATGTATTTGCTAAGGCTGAAACAAGACAATTGATTATCAAACAAATTGAGAGTCGTTTTTGCATGGAGATCACAAATTTAAAAGTATAATTGCCTCTACCTTTTCTTAAGACTTCATCTGACTTTTCTGAACAATTTAACAAGCCAAAAGAGAATTGTTACACTCTCAGCAGTACTCGCATCACAATATCACAAGACAAATGAAAATGTGGTGTCACTTCTGTAAAGCCCTTTTTGTCTTCCAGCTAAAGCCATTTCATTTAGCGGAATTTATAACTTGATCCAGATCAAATCTCATTCAGAGCTTTAGTGATCGAACCAAATTGCACACATACAATTTAACTTTCTTTCAGATCTGTGGAAAGTTGAATTTGTTTTTCACGGAAATCATGACCAAAAGGAAAGTCATTCGATTCAAAAAGATACAAGTTCAACTACAACATTGTATCAGCGTATGAAGAGAAAAAACTATGGAAATCCATGATTTGCATTTGATACATTTATGCAATTTTTGACATATTCTGATGTCGGATTTGGTCTGTTTCAGAAAATTTCATAAAAACTTAAATAATGTATGTTTGGATTCACAAACGGTCACTCGGTCATATAAGACATGTATTCTCAAAAACACATGAAAAAGTGGATGAGTGAAATTTGCAATACTAATCTATTGGCATGTGTTTTAGAGTTTGTTTAAACCAAGCTCAATGAATAAACCAGCTCATTGATATACATGTATTACAGGGTTTTTTATACCGTATAGCTGAAATATGATAATAGCATATTGGTATAGAACAAATTGACCAAAGTGGAAAAAAATGTCTGCTTGAAGATTGTATTTAGGACAGAACGTTGAGCCAAAAAACATGGTTATATTTGGCAGATTGTATGAATTTGTGCTATACCAATAAACTTTTAACCCCAATTCAACACGTACATTGCTCGTGCGTTTACAATCAGAAGAATGTGGATACACTTCAGCACAATGGCTCAAATTTATCGAGATCATTTTGTCCACTTCAGATATTCCTTACTCTCAGAACCACATTATTCCAGTGACGCGACCTACATGTGAAAACTTACACTCACGTTTATTGCAGTAACAACCATTTCATCGTTGTACTAGATTTCACCTTTTGCGCTTCGGTTGGCAGTGCGAAAACGGCAGTAGTGTGCAAACCCAAACCGTTTGAGAGAGAAAAAGAGAGAAAAAAAAAAAGCTACTCAATATCAACGTCCAGTTCGCTTTCCAAGTCTATCCAGGATCGCCTCTTCGCGCTGGGGAAGTCTTTGCCCAAGGATGCGCGCGTACGGTGGCGCTGTGCCTCACTGTAATGCATGCTGCTGATGTCAATGTCCCACTCCTCCTCCTCCTCCTTCTTCACTTCCGAAAACGGACCCGGGAAATACTCCAGCTCCACGCGGGGGCTCACCGTTTGCCCGCACTTTGGTGGCCGCCCCCTGCGCTTTTTCCCCGTCTGCGAACTGGCGGGTGCTGGCCTCTTGAATCCCGACGATAAACCGGTATGGAACGTTTTCGGGGAGAAGTCGGGGTCTTCCTTCACCACCGGGCTCGGCTGGTAGCATTCGGGCAGTGGGTTTTTGCGCGGGCGGCCTCTCCCGCGCTTGGCAGGAGGAGGCGTGACCAAAGTTTGCGGGACGTGCAACGGTTTGGAGGCGTACTTGGGTGGGACGGCAGGAACGTAGAGGAATTTTTCTTCTGGTTTTGGGTTGGAACTGACTTGAACAGGCGTGGGAACGGGGGAGGCAGCTGCTGGCTTTGTGAAAGTCTTATTGAGGTATCCGATGTTTGCTAAAGGAGATTTGAACACATACGGTTGAGGCGGGTTCAGTTTTGCGGGCAGCGAAGGTGGCGAGTCGGTCAAAGCTGGTTGTTTGGCGGAAGCGGTTGGATTGTCAGGGTTTTTGAAGTTGTACTGGGATTGATTGGGGTTTGATTCCAGTGGTTTCAGGAGAATGGTGGGTGTTTCGCTATCCTCGGACAAAGAGAGCGTGTAGAAGGTCTTGGGATCTGCAACAGAAAAAAATACAGCCCACATGGAGTTTACAGAGCATAAGAATACGGAATACGTCTTTGCATGTGCCCTCTATATCCGTCGCTCTAATTGTATCCATCTGTTCATATCATCTTTACAAATTGTTTCATAATGTTGGTCACTTGAGCACTTCCAGTCTCTGATTAATTATCATATTAGTAGTATACACACCGGTCTCTCAATACCACTGTGATCCATTACAAATGCAAAATAGTAAGGCTTTTATGCGGCCTCATGGTTGCAAACAAGTTCTACTGACTGGCATTTTTTAATACATTTAAAGAAATTTTGACTTTTGTCCCATTGAATCTACTTTTGCCAGAGATCGTAGAAGGAGTGGACTAACCTTGTTGCAGAAGAAAACAAATAAACTCCTGTGTCGCAGGAGTGACGTCTGACTGTCCCTGCTTGTGCTACTTTCTAGCTATTGCGGGCGGCACGGTGGCAGAGTGGATAGCACTCTCGCCTCTCAGCAAGAAGGTCCTGGGTTCGAATCCCGGTCGGACCAGGGCCTTTCTGAGTGGAGTTTGCATGTTCTCCCCGTGTCTGCGTAGGTTTCTTCCGGGTGCTCCGGTTTCCCCTACCACTAAAAATATGTCCAATAGTTCTAGCATGCGCCTCCTGTACTGGCGACCCCGCTCCCATCTCTGTGTGGAGTGAGAGACAAATGCCCAAAAATTAACAATTGTAAACCGCTTTGAGACTCAGATCTGCAGTGAAAAGGCGGTATATAAATAAAGATTACTTACTTACTTACTTACTATAGTCAAATTTGGGAACTTAAGGCATCCGATTGGTCAGTTGTTAGAGGACATATCTGAATTTACTTATTCAAATTTGAATGTCCCATATTTTAGAGTCCCCATTGTGAGAATTGAGGTTGGAAAAGGGCATCAAGACTGGAATAATCTGCCCATTGAAGTGGAGTCGCTATCCTCCTTGCCACAATTTAAAGAAACTATTTAATGCTTAATGTTGTATTCATGGGTTGGGGCTCTCAGCCTGCAACATGTAAAAAACTTTAATTTAGCCCTGAAATCCATGGATAACATCAACTGTGGGGAACTGAGGCTGAGGGTCTGGAAGTGCAGCGCTGAATATATTGAGAATGAAAGTAAATGTTATTTGCTTTATTTTTTGTCCAATCTAATATGTTTCCATCTTGCCCTGCTGTCTAAAAAATATTAGATATTTAGGGGCTATCCTTGAGAATAAAAAAGACAATACGTAAATAAAATAAATGAAAACACTTGGATCACAGAGAGGGCTCAAGGACAGATTTTTGAGCACAAAAGTGTGCTGAAGTTTTATTTCACTTTTACTGTTCAATGTATATGAGTGGAGCCAAAGTGAGAAAGACATCTCCATGTGCACTTCCATATACGCTTCAAAGAGCTCGTGGCTTAGCACAGTCCATGTCTATATTCAGTCTGTGGGATAGAGTTTTGCCGTTTTCTGATTTTTGATACTTATAATAACTGAAATGTGCTGAAATGAAAATGGGAAGCCTAATACAGTCTTAAAATGAGTGAATTGTCACCTGGCTTCATGTTGGAAGGTAGGATGATTCTCCCGTCTTTGGTGCGAACGAGCGGTAGGGTCAAGGTGGGAGGCTTTGGCAGGGGCGATTGCTTATCGGGAGGTGGGTGTCTGGACTTGTGGATGGGGTCAGACCTGGGACTGGGGTTAGACCTAGTACTGGGGTCAGACCTGGGACTGGGATCCGGCCTGGGGTCGGACCTGGGACTGGGATCCTGCCTGGGGTCGGACCTGGGCCTAGGGTCAGACCTGCCCTGGGCCTTCTGCTGCTCCTCTCGGCTCTTCTTGGCGGCCTGGTGGCAGAACTTGGCGTTATGGATGATGGGTTTGAGCTTGGTGAGGAGGGATTGGAGGAAGCTCTTGGCCGTGGCCTGGATTTGTGCCGAGGCTCTCTGCTGCTCCTCTGAGGGCTCTGAGCGCACTGGCTCTTCTGAGCTGATTGATAAACACTCCTCCTGCAGATGGAAGAATGTAAACCACTGGATTCACCATAAGATTTAAGTGGGACATGTCTATGCCATTTTGAGTTGAAAATTGTAGCTGCAGTTGTAAATATAATAAAATTGTAAATATATATTGACTGTGAAAGGGTTCTCCCACATCCTGTGCTATCTACGTGAAATATGAAAAATAAAATAAAAACAAATCAAATCTAAAAATGTTATCCATGTGATAAAAAACGAATGTCTCTTCCTCAAATTGCCCAGCCCTGCTGCTACTTCTTAGCAAGAATAGCTTAAATCTGGTTGGCATTAGTCCAGTTCTTGTCTGATACAAAAAATTATTCAATATTGCTGTGGGACAAATAAAAAGACTTTCTAAAAGTAAGGTTGTGTTGTGAACTTCAGGCCCAGAGACCAAGGCCATCCACAAAATACTGCCCTCATGAGAAATCAGCGCTGTGATACGTTTGTTTGGGTGCTTTGTTCCAGGAAACTGCCCTTAGCTTATAAACAGCTATTTCAAGTCTAACACCTTGAAATTAAACTTTACACAGGAAGTCTAATTTCTGTATAAAGAACATGTCTCATACCTCCTGCTTGACAGGTTTGTGCTGCTGCAGCTTTGGAGAATCACGGTTCCCCTTTTCCGCGCTGGAGATCACCTTCTCCAGGATAGCGTCCTCTGATTGGCCTGAAAAAAGCTCTTGATCAGTTCAATTGGACCGAAGCATTTCTCAGTTATCCCGGTTCCCTTCGTGGTTGGAGTAATGGTGTGCAAAACACATTTAGATGTATATATTAGATACCATCTAATATTTCTTATTTGGTTATATAAATTATTCTATTTATTTTTTTTAATACATAAAACTGCAGCCTATATTAACAAAGTCACTCTCATCAAAGTATTATTTAGAAAAAATCAAATGCAAAAAAAGTCATTGTTTTCATATTTTCACCAATTAGCCCTCCCTGGCCCCGCCCTGGCCCCGCCCTGGCTGTGAGCAAGGATCTAAAGCCTGGTTCACACGGCAGGATATTTAGGCCGATTTAGACCCGATTTACCCCTTACGACTCTCTTAAGAAACGCTCCGATTTCCGTAACAAAATCTTACAGATTATCCTGCCGTGTGTGGTGTGTTAAGACTGCACTCGTCGCTCGGAAGGACATCGGGACTGCTCCCGATCTCAAATCGGGGATATCCAACATGTTGGATTGTTTTGGCCCGATTTCTTGTCGTGTGTGGTGTCCTCCGAGGACAAGCGAGCGCGTTGCCATGACTACGGCGTGTAGCCAATAAGAAGACGAGGTGACAAGCCGGTGAGGAAACACCGGAAAAAAACCAAAACACAGCAGCATGGCTTTGACCATTGCCTTTTCTTTGGATTACGTGTCTTCTCTGTTAACAACAAACTGCACACTATCGCCACTGCATCCTCTTCGTCCGCCATGACTGTTTACTCTGAAGTCACGCTTGATCTCGAGAGATTTTGTGAGATTTCCGTCTGACCTGGGAATGCTCGGGGGGGGGTGTCGGTTCGTGTGTGATGTTTGTGGCTTGCGTGATCTTGCCGTGTGGCTACGCACCACACACTGCACGACCAAAGTGGTTAGACGCAGGATTTTTAATCTCCCCGTGTGGGGTCTAACACGGAGAAAAATCGGCCGACAATTTTAAAATCGTCTCGTGTGAACCAGGCTTTACCGGACATGAGTGAGATGTTGTGCACGTATCCGTCCTGCAGGTGGCGCAGCAGCTGCTTCTGCTTCTTCAGCCGCCTGGCACTCGCAGTCAGAGCCTCGATTTCTGCCATGGCCTAAAACACAGAAGGACATGAGTATTGTTCACGTTAGGAAATGGATTGGAATCACACTTTTGGAAACACACCATTAAACCAAGGATTCTTTATGAATAAAAACTTAATTTAAAATTTAATTTAATCAAGTGAAAATGAGACCAATGTTTCTGACAAGACACCAGGGATGGACCATTGTTCCACCAATGTCAATAACAGCAATATTGTTAGGAAATTAAATAAACAATAGAAATAATACAAATGATAATAACAATAATGAGAGTAGAGACACATACAGTGTTGAGGATCTGGATCTTGGGGGCCGGGCCGTCGTGGTCTGGGAGAACCACAGCCTGCATTTTGTTGAACAGTTCCTTCTGTTCACTTCGCCGCTGTCGCTCTGAAAACTTCCTTTCGTGTCTGCGGAACATCTCTGAGCCAACCTGCTCCAGAGAGCGAGTTAGGACTTACAGGACACAGACACACATCTGACTGTGGCAGTCATGAAGCAGAATGCTGTCTTTGCAATTATTTCACATTTCAATATCAAGGAAATATTTACTACAATTACTCAAAATAACAGATTATGACAAATGAGGCATAAAATATGACAAAATTATTTTACTTCAATTAAAAATATGTATCTTGTTTGAATCATTTTGCAATGACATAAATGGTTCTGTTTATTGAATATTAAAGTATGGACTACAGAAGCCATTCAAATTAAGATCTGAGCCCATAAACCGCCCAACAAATCTTTTCAATCATACATTTAGTGTGACAAGACTTTCTTTTGTAACAACAGTTTGTAAGAAAGTGCTCAGCGAGTCACTAAAGCGTTTAGGGCGAGACTTTTTGGCTGAGTGAAGGTGGTCCTATATTTTTCACTTTTAAGTCTAAAAAAGCTAAATATGTGGCAAAGGCCAAACGACACTTTATGTGATAGAACTATTCAGAGAGCGAGGAACGAGTAGATGGAGGTTTTTGCATAGTTAAACATTTTTGTGGTTTGAAAGTTAGGCCCATGTTAAAAACCCGTGTTTTAAAAGGAACAGTGGGCCTCATTCACGAATAACTACGTAAGAAACTACTCAACTTTCTTCTCAAGTTGTCCTTGAGTAGATTTCTAGGAAGTCCCCACGTGGGATTCATCAACGCACTGTAAGCCGCTGAATTGTTCGCAGCTGTTCTCTCAGATTGATGAATCCCATTTCCTCGTAAGTACAGCGCGCGTGCCAGGTGCTTCATTACCATAGGTACTTAGCATAAGTAACCGCCCATTAATGCCCATATAAGGGACTGCAGGGCCGTGTGCAGACGCCAGAGGAAACAGCAACAGGCCTAAAGCAGGCTTTTGCCAGACTGAGAATAAAGTTATAAAATGTTGACTTAAAAGTCGAAATATTATGATAATAAAGTCGAACTAGCAAAATTATGAGATTAATCTAAGAATATGATGAGATTAATCTCAAAATGTTATGATCTTAATTTAAAAATATATTATGTATTATTTTAAAGATGAATCTCAAAATGTTTTGAGATTAATCTCAAAATATTTTGGACCCTGGGAGGAGATCCAGCGCGGACCAGCGCTGAGACCAATGCAGACCCGAGGAGAGACTGGAGTGACCAGCACACAGAAACCAGCGCGGACCTATAGGAGAGACCGCATAGACTGGAGTGACCTGACTGGAGAGACCGGTGCGCAGAGACCAGCGCGGACCGAAGATAGACCGCATAGACCAGACTTGAGAGACCAGCGCGGACCCGTAGGATCCAGGAGCATGCAGCACGGACCCGTATGGAGAGACCAGTGCAGACCCGTATATGGGAGAGACCAGCGCGGACCCGTAGGATCCAGGAGCATGCAGCACGGACCCGTATGGAGAGACCAGTGCAGACCCGTATATGGGAGAGACCAGCGCAGACCCGTATAGATCCATGGGAGAGACCAGTGCAGACCCGTATAGATCCATGGGAGAGACCAGCGCAGACCCGTATAGATCCATGGGAGAGACCAGTGCAGACCCGTATAGATCCATAGGAGAGACCAGCGCAGAGACTCAGCGCGGACCCAGTAACCTCCTGCAGCAGCAGTATATATGCCGTTGTTCTGTGGCCCGTGGATAAAGAAATGCCCCCTATAAATAGGAAGGGGTCACTAATACACGGCAAGATTTCCAATGTATTTGATAAAGCGTTGGCACATTTCATTTCAAAATGAATTAAAAAGTAGGCCAGATCTGCAGTGAAAAAGGCGGTATATAAATAAAGATTACTAATAAAGATTACTACAAATAAATAAATACATACATCGATATGACGGACATATCACTGGAATGTTGTATTTTTATTCAACTTCACCAAAGAGGACAACCCCGGCGTGTGAACATGTCGGCACTGAATGCGTACGAGTGCTCCTGAGGACTCGTAGGATTTGTACTTGCCCAAGACAAATTCTGGTTACGAGAAATATTCGTGAATGCCACTTTCTTCGTAAAAACCGCGTAAGTAGGATTTACGTACAAATCTGTTCCTAAGAACCGTTCGTGAATGAGGCCCAGTGTCTTTGTGGTCTAATAAAGTCCTTACAATCACGATCACACTTTGGTTGCCAACAAAAATGTGGGCTTCACGCTGCTCTTTATTGGATAATCTGCTTGAAAATATTATTTAATTATTGCATTTAACTCCACTTTAACCCTTCGTTCAGAAAGGGTCAAATATGATCTGTGCGTGTTGCCCTGTTATCTCTAGCCTTTTAAAATGAAAATATTACAACAAGTCCAGTAGTTACCAAGATAGAAAGCTCAATATTAGCTTTGAGACCTACCTCCATGTTCAGCATCTGCATTGGATATCGTCTTGGCACAAACGTCCTGTTGAAGAGCACAGAAAAACATACAGTCATAAAGTGGTTCAATATCTTCTTCTTTGCAGTTTTATTGTGTCCTCACTATTGAACTCTTTAAACATAAAGTGATAGTTTCACCTGTTTGGATTCGGGCCCAAACCGGCAGCAATTCGAAGTCTGTCCATCATGAATTGATCTTCTGGTTCTGAGCCATTTTTCTCACGAAAAGACAGTCCCTAACGACACAAAGAAGTGACATGTTTAGAAGTGTGCAAATAATGAGCTGAGGATAAAAGGGAACTTCAAAGACAGACAGTCTCTCCCAATGGAGTAGAGCAGATCTGTGGAACAGCAAGTCCAGTCACAATATGTACGTTCATGGTCCTGCACGTGTCAGTGAGGGGGGGTGGCCCCACACATGTTGCATTCACATATGAAGCTTGCCTTTCTAGGGAGGGGGCCACTGCTCTTGAACACTACCCCCGGAGGAAGGTTGTGGAGGGTTGCCAGTAAGCAGCAGCGATAAGTTTCAGTAACTCAGCAAAATCGTGCTTTTGGCATATTAGTGACGGGCAAAATGGCATGAAACTTGTGAAAGCAAGGTGAACCTTGTTGCTGCGAGGAGAGATCTCAAACTGACAGCCACGGATAAATAGAACCAGTTTATTATCCTTTTATGTGTTTCTGTTGTTGAAATATGGTTACGTGTTTTTGAAAACATTCAATCATTTAGTAGAGATTGGTCCTGAGACAAACAGGACAATACAGGATTACAGTACTCAACATAAAGGGCTGAATCCTCATTAAAGTAAAAACAAGTTCAAAGAATCAAACTTACATCATCCACGTCAATCTCTTGGTCCTCGTCATCCTCGTCCTCCGTAAAGTCCGACTCGGAACTGGACCCGGAGCTGGACCCGGCGCTGGACTCGGAGCCCGAGTCGTCGCTGATCACTATGGGCGCGTCGTTGTTGCGTTGAAGTACGTTTCTGATCATCTGTGACAGCGGGTTATTGGTGTTGTTCGGGTCCAGGTTGGGTATCCTGTCCGGGGACGGCTTGGGCAGCTGGATGAGAGTGAAGCCGCCAGGTAGAGCCACCCCGGGCAACTTGCAGGTCTCGTTGTCTGGGGGGCAGATCCTGAAGGAGTAGGAGCCTCTCTGGGATAAGAAGCTGGCCGTTTTGAGCGAAGGGGAGACGGTGACTGAGAGCTCTCTGTCGCTTTGGAATGGGCTGCTCCATTTCTTTGGCTCAGGCTCAGGTGGAGCGGGGGGTGGCATGGGGTTGGCCTCGGTGCGGTTGGCCTCAGTGGGGTGAAGCGTCCTGCCTGTGGACATGAGGAAGAGGTCCAGGTGAACATGACTGATAATTAGGGATGGGAATCTTGGGGAATCTTGGAGAACCTCACGATTCGATTACGAGGCTGCGATTCGATAATTAAACGATTATTGATGCATTTTAATATATGTACAGTGATTAACTTTCTCCACATTTCCTGAGGCAAGTTCATTTTCATTATATTGCATTACCCTCGTGAAACTATCCATCGGAATGGAAATGCATAAACATTTTAACTTTAGTTTACCGCTCAAGGTGCTTTTTGCTGCTATTTGCGTTTCATGTTAGTTAAAAATTAGATGATGATCTAAAGGTCAGACGGGCGTAACTTCAGCGACTACCTCGTGGTTCGTGTTAAGTTTCCATTTCTCTTCCCGTTTACACCGGGTAAGTGTGGCCAACCAGCTCCAGCATGGATCGTGTTCTTTGCAATCAATTGAGAGTCAATTGTGAGATGTGTCTTTCTCAAATGTGCACCAGCTTAGTGGGTAACATGTGTGTGGGTGTGGGAAAGTGGACTTTTAAAAAGGACTTTTAACTGCTTTTATTTCTGTGATGTGTTTTGTGTGTTTTTATGGTTTTAATGCATGCATTTTATCACTGTCCCCTGGACACTTCCACTAATCACCCACACCTGTTTTAATCAAGACCTTTTAATTGGGGGCGGGCACTGCAGCAGAGCAAAGAGGCGAGACAGAGAGCACACGGAGGACCAGAGGAGGAGGACGCGGGACCGGGCCAAGGACGAGGACGAGCACCGCCAGCCAGAGACCACGGGGGACTGAGGCCAGCGGGGGGAGCGGTACCGGTGAGGGGGCGCGCATTGACAGCGCATGAAGGCGCGTGCGCGCCCGGGCTAGGCCCAACGACAACCGGGATGTGCCGGCTCTCCCCCGCGGGTGCCCGGTGCCGACCCGTGGTCGGCTAGTGGCTGGCGGAACTGCGGCCCGGTCCCGGGGGAGAAGAGTGGAGGCCAGTGGGGACGGACTCTGGGCTTTTATTATCTTTTTAATGGACCTTTTTGTAAATATTTTATTAAATTTTTAACCCTTTTTATCCCCTTCTGCTTTTTATTGATCACACCCCCTCAACAGACACTTTTAAACCTGTGACATGGGCGCCTTGGAGTAAACGGTGTGAGCGTTGAGAGAGCGTGTGTATGGAAAGTGTGGCGTACGAGACGGCTGAAGCAGGTTGGATCTCACGGCGAGTTGGGTTGGTTTGTTTGCTGTGGCTGCTGGAAGCGCGCTCTCGGTTTGTTTTGAAGACTGCGCTTACTGTATTTCAGTACACGCATATTCAAAATAATCAGAATCTGGGTGTTTGTGAATCGTTCTCGATTCGTCCACAGCCAAATCGCAGTTAATTTAAGAATCTGATATTTCCCACACCTCTATTGATAATAGATTGAAATGTGAACAAACACAATATGTTTGTCTAAGCTTGAATAAGACGTAGGGCTATGGAGCAACACCAGGTAAAGCAGTGAAGCCACATGATTCCCAGCTTTATTATTAATGCATACCTGTTCGTATTGTTCGTGATGGAATCCTCATTGACGACAACATCTGAGTCACCAACGGCCTCTTGAGAACTGTGGGGCCGGTCTGAGGGACTGAGCTGGTCTGTGGGACTCTGCTAGTCTGAGGGACTGAGCTGGTCTGTGGGACTCTGCTAGTCTGAGGGACTGAGCTGGTCTGTGGGACTCTGCTAGTCTGAGGGACTGAGCTGGTCTGTGGGACTCTGCTAGTCTGAGGGACTGAGCTGGTCTGTGGGACTCTGCTAGTCTGAGGGACTGAGCTGGTCTGTGGGACTCTGCTAGTCTGAGGGACTGAGCTGGTCTGTGGGACTCTGCTAGTCTGAGGGACTGAGCTGGTCTGTGGGACTCTGCTAGTCTGAGGGACTGAGCTGGTCTGTGGGACTGAGCTGGTCTGTGGGACTGAGCTGGTCTGTGGGACTGAGCTGGTCTGTGGGACTGGCTTTAGGGCTGAGTTGATGGTCACAGTTCGAGCTGGCTCTGGGGTAGAATCTGGGTCAGGCTCTGGGGCTTGCTTTGGGGGAGGACTGGAGGGTTTCTTGTACAGATTACTGGTGCCAGCCAATCGACCAGTGACGAACGCTGCGACACGATTGGCTGGATGCAGCGAGCCCATCGTACCCAGCTTCAGTCGGGCGTGGCTGTAGAACTTCCCATTCACCTGGAGAAGTTCACAAAAACACATTTGTTATTATTAATATTTATTTACTTCTCAGACTTCATTTTGTGTCGGATGTAAGTTAGATGAATTTCTAGAAGACTTATTTCAACAGAATGAGGAATTTCATAGGACATCAAGAGATAATCATTCCTAATTTCTAGATATTAGAAAGTATTCGGCCCCCTTGAACCTTTCAACATTTCGCCACATTTCAGGCTTCAAACAAAAAGATATAACATTTTTATTTTTTGTCATGAATCAACAACAAGTGGGACACAATCGTGAAGTGGAACGAAATTTATTGGATAATTTAAACTCTCCCCCCTGGACTGCCACCTTAACGTGGTGGGGGAGTTTGAGTACTCGGATGATCCTGGGAGCTATGCTGTCTGGGGCTTCATGCCCCTGGTAGGGCCTCCCATGGCAGACAGGTCTCAGGTGTCGAGTCAGACAAAGAGCAGTCCAGAAGAGTCCAGAAGACACCATGGACAGCACTAACACGAAAACAGTGACGTCGCCCGGCATGGCGCAGCCGGGGCCCCACCCTGGAGCCAGGCCTGGGGTCGGGGCCCGTATGCGAGCGCCTGGTGGCCGGGCCTTAGCCCACGGGGCCCGGCCGGCTCAGCCCGAAGGGATGACGTGGGCAGTCCCTCCTGTGGGCCCACCACCTGCAGAGGGGTCTGTGGTGAAGCGGTGCAGAGAGGACTGGGCGGCAGTCGAAGGCGGAGACCTCGGCGACCCAGTCCGCACACACAACATCTGGCTCTTGGGACGTGGAACGTCACCTCACTGGGGGGGAAGGAGTCCGAGCTCGTGGGGGAGGTTGAGCGATACCGACTAGAGATAGTCGGCCTCACCTCCACACACAGCTTGGGCTCTGGAACCCAACTCCTTGAGAGGGGTTGGACGCTCCACTTTTCTGGGGTTTCCCGCGGGGAGAGGCGGCGAGCTGGGGTGGCCATTCTCATTGCCCCCCATCTCAGCCGCCACGTGTTGGAGTTCTCCCCGGTGAATGAGAGGGTCGCGTCCCTCCGCCTCCGGGTGGGGGACAAGTCTCTCATTGTTGTGACGGCCTACGGGCCTAACAGCAGTGTAGAGTACCCGGCCTTCTTGGAGTCCTTGGGAGGGGTACTGGACGGTGCACCGCCCGGGGACTCCGTTATTCTCCTGGGGGACTTCAACGCCCATGTGGGAAACGCCAGTGACACTTGGAGAGGGGTGATCGGGAAGAGCGGCCCCCCTGATCTGAACCCGAGCGGTGCTCAGTTGTTGGACTTCTGTGCCAGTCGCGGTTTGTCCATCACGAACACCATGTTCGAGCACAAGGGTGTCCACCAGTGCACGTGGCACCAGGACACCCTAGGCCGGAGGTCGATGATCGACTTTGTTGTCGTATCATCTGACCTTCGACCGCGTGTCTCGGACACTCGGGTAAAGAGAGGGGCGGAGCTGTCAACCGATCATCACCTGGTCGTGAGTTGGATCCGCTGGCAGGGGAAGAAGCCGGTCAGACCTGGCAGACCCAAGCGTATAGTGAGGGTCTGCTGGGAACGTCTCGCTGAGCCCCCTGTCAGACGGACTTTCAACTCACACCTCCGGGAGAGCTTCTCCCAGGTCCCGGCGGAGGAGGGGGACATGGAGTCCGAGTGGACCATGTTCTCTGCCTCAATCGCCGATGCGGCGGCTCGTAGCTGTGGTCGCAAGGTCTCTGGTGCTGGTCCCGGCGGCAACCCCCGAACCCGGTGGTGGACACCGGCAGTAAGGGATGCTGTCAGGCTGAAGAAGGAGTCCTATCGAGCCATGATGGTTCGGGGGACTCCTGAGGCAGCTGTCCAGTACCGGCAGGCCAAGCGTGCCGCGGCCCGGGCTGTTGCAGAGGCAAAAACCCGGGACTGGGAGGAGTTCGGAGAGTCCATGGAGCATGACTATCGGTCGGCCTCGAAGAGATTCTGGCAAACCATCCGGCGCCTCAGGAGGGGGAAGCAGTTCTTTGCCAACACCATGTACGGTGCGGGTGGAGAGCTGCTGACCTCGACTGGGGATATTGTCGGGCGGTGGAAGGAATACTTTGAGGTTCTCCTCAATCCCCCCGTCACGTCCTCTGTTACAGAGGCAGAGGCTGAGGATGTTGGGGCGGGTACATCCATCTCCCTGGCTGAGGTCACCAAGGTGGTTGGTAGCCTCCATGGTGGCAAGGCTCCGGGTGTGGATGAGATCCGCCCTGATTATCTAAAGTCTCTGGATGTTGTAGGACTGTCTTGGCTGACACGTCTCTGCAACATCGCGTGGCGATCGGGGGCAGTGCCAATGGAGTGGCAGACCGGGGTGGTGGTCCCTCTCTACAAGAAGGGGGACCGGAGGGTGTGTTCCAATTATCGTGGGATCACACTCCTCAGCCTCCCCGGTAAGGTCTACTCCAAGGTACTGGAGAGGAGGTTACGGTCGATGGTCGAATCTCGGATCCAGGAGGAGCAGTGTGGTTTTCGTCCCGGTCGCGGAACACTGGACCAGCTCTATACTCTCCATCGGATACTCGAGGGTTCATGGGAGTTCGCCCAACCTGTCCACATGTGCTTTGTGGATTTGGAGAAGGCGTTCGACTGTGTTCCCCGGGGTGTCCTTTGGGGGGTTCTCCGGGAGTACGGGGTCGGAGGTCCTCTGCTGAGGGCCATCCGATCCCTGTATGACCGGAGCCAGAGCTGTGTTCGCATTGCCGGCAGTAAGTCAGACCTGTTCCCGGTGAATGTTGGCCTCCGACAGGGCTGCCCTTTGTCACCGGTTCTGTTCACTGTATTTATGGACAGAATATCTAGGCGCAGCCAGGGGTCGGAGGGGGTCCGGTTCGGAGACCACAGGATTTCATCTCTGCTGTTTGCGGACGATGTTGTCCTGTTGGCTCCAACGAACCAGGACCTGCAGCATGCACTGGGACGGTTTGCAGCCGAGTGTGAAGCGGCTGGGATGAGAATCAGCACCTCCAAATCCGAGGCCATGGTGCTCGACCGGAAAAAGGTGCCTTGCCCTCTGCAGGTGGGTGGAGAGGTCCTTCCTCAAGTGGAGGAGTTCAAGTATCTCGGGGTCTTGTTCACGAGTGAGGGAAGAATGGAGCGTGAGATTGACAGGCGGATCGGTGCAGCGTGCGCAGTTATGCGGTCGCTGTATCGGACCGTTGTGGTGAAGAGGGAGCTGAGCCGAAAGGCAAAGCTCTCGATTTACCGGTCAATCTTTGTTCCCTCCCTCACCTATGGTCATGAGCTTTGGGTAATGACCGAAAGAACGAGATCGCGGATACAAGCGGTCGAAATGAGCTTCCTCCGCAGAGTGGCTGGGCGCTCCCTTAGAGATAGGGTGAGGAGCTCAGTCACACGGGAGGAGCTCGGAGTAGAACCGCTGCTTCTCCACGTCGAGAGGAACCAGTTGAGGTGGCTCGGGCATCTGTTCCGGATGCTTCCTGGACGCCTCCCTGGGGAGGTGTTCCGGGCACGCCCCACCGGGAGGAGGCCCCGCGGAAGACCCAGGACATGCTGAAGGGACTGTCTCTCAGCTGGCCTGGGAACGCCTTGGGGTCCCCCCGGACGAGCTGGAGGAAGTGTGTGTGGATAGGGAAGTCTGGGCGTCTCTGCTTAGACTGCTGCCCCCGCGACCCGGCAACGGATAAAGCGGAAGAAAATGGATGGATGGATGGAATTTAAACTTTAACAAATAAAAAACTGAAAAGTGGGGCGTGCAATATTATTCGGCCCCTTTACATTCAGTGCAGCAAACTCAGTCCAGAAGTTCAGTGAGGATCTTTGAATGATCCAATGTTGTCCTAAATGACTGATGATGATAAATAGAATGCACCTGTGTGTAATCAAGTCTCCGTATAAATGCACCTGCTCTTTGATAGTCTCAGGGTTCTGTTTAAAGCGCAGAGAGAACCATGAAGACAAAGGAACACACCAGGCAGGTCCGAGATACTGTTGTGGAGAAGTTTAAAGCCGGATTTGGATACAAAAAGATTTCCCAAGCTTTAAACTTCTCAAGGAGCACTGTGCAAGCAATTATATTGAAATGGAAGGAGTATCAGACCACTGCAAATCTACCAAGACCCGGCCGTCCCTCCAAACTTTCATCTCAAACAAGGAGAAGACTGATCAGAGATGCAGCCAAGAGGCCCATGATCACTCTGGATGAACTGCAGATAACTACAGCTGAGGTGGGAGAGTCTGTCCATAGGACAACAATCAGTCGTGCACTGCACAAATCTGGCCTTTATGGAAGAGTGGCAAGAAGAAAGCCATTTCTCAAAGATATCCATAAAAAGTCTTGTTTAAAGTTTGCCACAAGCCACCTGGGAGACACCAAACATGTGGAAGAAGGTGCTCTGGTCAGATGAAACCAAAATTGAACTTTTTGGCCACAATGCAAAACGATATGTTTGGCGTAGAAGCAACACAGCTCATCACCCTGAACACACCATCCCCACTGTCAAACATGGTGGTGGCAGCATCATGCTTTGGGCCTGCTTTTCTTCAGCAGGGACAGGGAAGATGGCTAAAATTGCTGGGAAGATGGATGGAGCCAAATACAGGACCATTCTGGAAGAAAACCTGTTGGAGACTGCAAAAGACATGAGACTGGGACGGAGATTTATCTTCCAACAGGACAATGATCCAAAACATAAAGCCAAATCTACAATGGAATGGTTCACAAATAGAGGCCAAGTCAAAGTCCAGACCTGAATCCAATCGAGAATCTGTGGAAAGAGCTGAAGACTGCTGTTCACAAACGCTCTCCATCCAACCTCACTGAGCTTGAGCTGTTTTGCAAGGAAGAATGGGCCATAATTCCAGTCTCTCGATGTGCAAAACTGATAGAGACATACCCCAAGCGACTTGCAGCTGTAATTGCAGCAAAAGGTGGCGCTACAAAGTATTAGCGCAAGGGGGCCGAATAATATTGCACGCCCCACTTTTCAGTTTATTTGTTAAAAAAGTTTAAATTATCCAATAAATTTCGTTCCACTTCACGATTGTGTCCCACTTGTTGATTCATGACAAAAAAAATTAATTTTTATATCTTTATGTTTGAAGCCTGAAATGTGGCGAAATGTTGAAAGGTTCAAGGGGGCCGAATACTTTCACAAAGACACTGTATGTATTTCTTTCTGAAATTACTGATACAAATAAAGAATTTCACATATGTTTTGAGTGTGGCTGTACACACAATGCTAGTCCAAAATATATACATTTTAATTAACGGCCAGAATTAAAGTCATCTTTAAGTGAGTGATTTTAACCCTTTAAGCGCCAGAGGTTTTTTTCCAAAACGCTCAATTTTGACATCTTAATTTCAAAAGGCTATAACTTAAAAGTGATAAGAGACAAAGGCTTTCTGTAAATTAGAAAAATATAAAGGATGGTCCAAAGTTTATGTAGAGAATAAATCCCCCCATCTAATTTGCATATTATGACGTCATTTGGCGTTAGAAATAGTGGATTTTAGAATTTTCATACAATATTTGTATTTTTCTAACTGACAGACATATATTTATCACTAGAACATGAACACACACAGAGCACACACTGTAACATTGTAAATGTTCATGAAAATAGTAAAAAAATATAAATCATGATGCTGCTGTGAGCAGTCTGCCGAGACGCGCGCGTCACCGCGACCCTGCTGCTGCAGCTGCTACTGTCTCTCCTGCTCTCTCTCTCTCATCTCCCCTGCCCTCTCTCTCGTCTAACACACACAAGACAAAGCTTCTCCAACACATTACTGTCCCGGTGATTACGGGAGGCTTGAAAATAAATATGTGGGAAGCACTTTTAGCGGAGACTTTGGCGGAAACTTCAGCGGAGGCTGGAGGTCGCGGCGCGGCGCCCCGACCCGAGTTCCAGGCTTGTTTTCCGCAAATCTAACCTGTCTCCGAACCTCCCAATGACTTGGCCTTACTCTGAGAAACACTGTTCCCACTGCAGACCCTGTGCAAAGTGTCTAAAGTTAGTGTTTGGTGCGGTACAACACTTGCAGGCTGCCCCGCAGCTGCATTCGCTTCGCTATGATTTCTGCACTGGTTCAACGCGGTCTTGCTCGAATATTTTGTATGGGAGCATGATGTTTTTTGGGGCCAGGGAGGTAGTCTGACATGTCTGCCAACTAGTGGCAGGGAGTATGAATGAATTTTGACACTCTGTTGGACACACTCGGCCGTTTTTAACAGTACCGCAGCTTGTCGACTTAAGTCGACCGTGGCGCCTAGAGGGTTAAGAGTGATGCATATATTTCCTGGTGAGTTGGACACACCTGTATGAGAGCAGAGGAGCTCTTGTCGCCCTGAGCAGTGGTGGCTTTGAGGATCCCCGCAGGTTGAATGCCTGAGAGGAATGGGATGTGTCCCACTGTTAACTCGGGCCATCGGCCTTTGGCTTCCTCGCTTTCTGAGACATGAGGCTGCTTCACGTGCTCTTCATCCTCACTGTGGTCCTCCTCAGAGTCATTGCTATCCACTGCCACAGGCACCATCAGACTGATATGGACCTAAGAAAGAAATGGGAGTTTTATAAGCCAAAGAAAATGAAATGAAATCTCAATATATTTTCACCAGTTTCAGAAGAATCCATCTTGTTTTCACACTTGTGCACATACATGGAATATTTTTTCCATTGAAAAAACATAGAAAACATGCATTTCACCAAAGAATGATGCTATTGTGCTCGCAAGATGTTCCTGATGCACATTTTATCACATATGATCTCATCTGTGCATAAGATATTACTTTGGAAAAGCACAAATCTACAGTGGTCAGGCTGAAATACAAACCAAAGCCGAAGAGTACATCAACATGTGCAGCTGTTTAAAAATATTTTTTCATAGTTTACATTATATTTTTTGCAGAGTTTAGTTAGTATCTTTCAGTGATCGTTTATGTCCTGGGTCGGCAATTTTGAAAAAAAACTAAGAAGATACAGAACGAGTTCCATGGCTCCACCTTTCATCACACATTCTCAGTGTGTACGTCACTCGTGGGGGCTGCACTGACCTTGTAGGTGACCACGCACTCGTTGGGCTTCTGAACGACCACTTTAGCCACAGGTTTGATGAAGTAGGAGCCCACGGTGAAGGGCCGGCATAGTCTGTTGCGGTTCATGTTCAGACACAGAGCCTCGAGGATCATCTTCCGGTCGTCTTTGGCCCACTTACAGCTGGACTGGATCTCAATCAGCGTCCGCGGCCGCTTCTTGTCTTCTACTGTCTCGCCTATGGCAGAAAAACAGTCATGTACACTTCAACTACAAACTTTCATACATACATATTCATAAAACATTGCTGTTGGCTCTTAACTGACCCATATTACACTTTTTGACTTTTCTCTGGTTTAAGCATGATTACAGTGATATTTGGCCTTCATACACATGCCCAAAGTAGTTTCATTGATTCTGTCTAGCTTTATTTAGAGAGCGATCTTTCTCATTCATTCTCAAGAGTCACACAAACAAGCTGATTCAAATCGTGACACGCACTAGACCATGATGTCAAAAGCGTCACTGTGCGGGTGGGGGGAGGTGGGCTCACAGGCAGAGGAGCACCGATCCAATGTTTCACATGAGCGAACCTCTATTCACGAAATTGCTTTAATTGGACAAGTTTTAAGTGTGGTATGGTGTATCACCCAAATTATTATCACACACGTCACGCATAGGATGGACTGTGAAAAATATGTCACCATAAAACTTGAGACTATTCACAGCAAAAAGACTGAACCACTTTAAGTTTAGAATGTTATAAAACAGTTTCAGTAGAATATGGATAGATGTGTACATTGGATGGTGAGAGGATCTTAGTAATGAAACAGCTCTGGTGGTGAAAGTTGAAAAACAACTTTCTGCTATTTTCATCAACATCAAACTTTGTGCCCGGATACTAAAGCCACATAGTTGAAAAGAATGTCAATGTCACATCTCTGGGGAAAAATATCCAACACTAATTTGTCTCAGAACACTACATAATCCATTTACATACAGTATACAATTACCTGTTTTCTTTTTCAGCACAAATATGTTGCTTTTGATCTTTTCTGTGGTGCTCTCGACTGGTTTTGTTGAATCGATGGATTTATTAGGAGCTGTGAGGGCAGTAGATGCAGTAGTAGCAACATCAGTAGTAGTAGCAGCGGCATCAAAAGCAGCAAAAGTAGTACTAGTAGCATTTTTAGCAGCAGCAGCAGCAGCAGCAGCAGCAGTGAGATCAGCTAATGTCTCCTTTGGTGGAGGTTTAGAGTTGAACGGCCTCACTCTGGCACAGGTCAGTTTCCTCTCTAGATACTTGTACACAGGGTCTTTGTCTTCTTCACGGATCTGGAAAACACCAAAAAAACATTTAAGAACAGATATTACACTCCTTAGTTAATTTAGGCTCTGAAAGTCTAAAATTAAATCTATCAAATTAGTTCCTCACTCTCAAATCAGTTTTGGTTCAACCAATGCTATTTTGGCCACTGAAAAAGCTGATCAAGAGATGTGGAAGGACAGAAGTGACCACGCCCTGATGATCCAAGATGGCGCCCTAATCAAATCAATGGCTTGTGCTTTTATGGGGAGGGGGCGCAAACAATTCTTTTGTACCAAAGGGGGACCCCACCCCAGCAGAAAAAGTTTGGGAATCACTGCAGTGTTGAAACAGGTCAGTGTGAAAACCCCTTTTCACTCTAACAAAGACACATTTTCAAAAACTAATTCAAGTTATTTGAACATGCAAATATTGTTTTAGATTTCTTAAATGAACAATTATTGTTTTAGACATTTAACTTGGAAGAAAAATTGATAAAACATTTTTACTGTTCTTCTCATTGGCCAATATTGCAAATATTTGTAAAACCGTGATGCTTTTTATTACAATAATTGTAACATTTGAAATCATTATAATGCCCTTAGGTAAAACACTTCAAGTACCTGGGTGAAGATTGCATTAGGTGTTTGGACCACTGGGGGCGGAGGTCGTTTGGCAGGTTTGAATGCCTGTGAAGTGAAGGAAAAATATCATAAATGCAATGAAAGAAAACTTAAAGTCCAAATTACATTATGACGTTTCCAAATGGGCTGTATGCTTTCAGCAAGAGACAAGGAGTTCATTTAAAGGATGGTCGGAAAAACTAGCAGCAGATCAAACTGTCTCAATTTCTGAGGACGCATAAACCTGGGCGTGCTGACTGAGGTGCGACAAACCAGTTCATTTGGCAGAACTGGTCAAAAACTTTTCCAGTCCGATGGAGTTGTTTTACATACATGTATATTTTAAACATATGGATGAAAGAAAAAAAAAAAGGACACAAAAAACATAAAAATTAGATGAGCGAAGCAGAAAAGTAGTAGTTCAAACCCCCCTTCTCACTCATTCAACACACACACACACACACACACACACACTCAGACAAGACACAGGCCCACACACACTCTGACCCCACACCTCTCTCTTACTCATTTTTTAACAAAACTATATTTTTTTTAGCTGATCTGGCAGCCCAAGAGCAACTCCTCACACTGAGATACACATTGATTTTAAAGTAACTACGTAAGCTGGATACTACTGAGACAAGGCCAGCAGATGCATTTCAGAGCATAGTATGTATTTGGAATCTCATTATGATCATTGTGATGAAGCACATCATCCCTTTTAATTTGGCAAAAAGGATTTTTTTTGCGATTAATTGATCGGTGCAGGGCTGAGCAATAAAACGATAACAATATATATTGCGATAGACACGCGTTCAATATCAATAGAAAATGGGGTTGATAGAATGTTTGATAGTTTAACTTCACTCCGTTAGAAAAAAACAGGAAGAAAACACAAGCGCACGGCATTCTGGGGGATGTAGGCAGAGACTTCTCGACCTATCACTGCCGACCACAAACCGCAAAACATTCTGGGAAATGCAAAAACAACAACCGCGCTATGTGTAGCATCCATGGATCTATAGATTGTTTTTCAATGCCGTGTCAATGGTTGTGCACGTCCCTGTGAGAAATAACATGTGCGGCCGAGGCAGTGGGTACAGAGACTTAATCTGTGCGTCAAAAGCAAGAGATTAACTTTTTCCTCTGGAAGCACATGCGGCGATCAGAGAGCCGCACAGAGCTGTCACAGGGACACAAGACACTCAAAAACAGCCAGAACAGGAGCGATACCAGGACTAAACCAGGACTAAGCCAGGACTAAACCAGGACTAAACCAGGACTAAACCAGGACTAAACCAGGACTAAACCAGGACTAAACCAGGACTTAACCAGGACTAAACCAGGAAAAAACAATTGCCCAGCCCTAGATCAGTGTATTCAATAGAATAGTCGATTACCAAAATATTCGATAGCCGCAACTAGAGATATAATGTAATTTTAGATAGATACTTTATTGTATCACACACATTCAGGTGTCCAGCAGCAGAAACAGATTCATACAAGCACATAAGTACATTAATTATAACCATTTATAAACATTTCTAACCAACTACCCGTCTAACCAACTGCCTAACAACAGTGCACATTTTTAACTCATACAGGTCTGTTGCACAGTCTGACAGCTATTATACAATAGATAATTGAAAGGTCTGGGAAATGCTTGGATGCTCTCATAATAATAGTGCTTTTAAAACACTTTCTAATGAATCAAGTCGAAATCTTACCTTTGGTGGGAAGTCGGGCTCCTCCAGGTCTTCAGGAGGTTCCAGGCTCGTAATCTCTGGGATCTGCAGTGGCTCGTCGTCCAACTCCTGCTCTTTTTTTATCCACAACTTTTGAGGATGTAATTTTGATAGTATCGGATTTGCTATAAAACAGGAGACAAAAAAGGTCAATTTTTTAATATATTTATGATCTAAATAATAATAAAATAATAATAATAATAATAAAAAGAAATGTGCTTACATAAAATTCTAGATCTTTAACTAATAAAGCTCGAGTAGTGCCTGTGTTTTAGGTCCTTAAAACTTTCCGATTGCAACAATGGAACTACACATCCAAAAATCCAAACTAGTCCCTCACCCTCACAGCTTAATCATTATTTTTAACATGCATGTATGTATGATTGGCTCTTGTCACATTTTTAGATCAGCTTTTTCAGACTGAAAAGTGAAAAAGAGTGGACCACCATCCATTAATATGCAAAATATGCTAATGTTTTCAAATCAGATAAAGGCAGTGTGTTGTGGCCGGATCCAAAGGATGTTACTTTGACAAGACTGTTGGAGCAAACCCTACAGGATTATTGATTAGAGGAAACATTTTAGTACCCCAACTTCAAAGGATTAAAAGCATAGGAAGACAAAATGAGGGAGGGATCAGAGGCCATTTCTAGCAAACAAGCTCCCAATACGATGGCAGAGCAAGGGGGATGTGTTACTTCCCCACTGAAAAGCTGATCTAAAAAGATGAGACGAGTCAAAAAGACATGCATGTGAAAACTGTTTTGAGAGAGAAACAAGCAACATGGATTCCATTACATACTGTAGTTTAACTGTGGATTCAAGGTATGTACCCCAGGTATTCACACTGAAGGCATCAAACTATGAATTAACTCATGTGGAATCATGTACGTACTAAGAAAAGTATGAAAAAACTGAAAATGTCTTATATCCTTGGTTCTTCAAAGTAGCACCTTTTGCTCTGATTACTGCTTTTCAGGTAGTGACCTGAAATGGTCTTCCAAGAGTCTTGAAGGAGTTCCCAGAGTTGCTTAGCACTTGTTGGCCCTTTCTCCTTCACTCTGTGGTCCAGCTCACCCCAAAACCATCTCCTTATTGGTCAAATAGCCCTTACACAGCCTGGTGTGACTCTACAGTCAATAGTCATGAAAAGAAGGGACACTCATTAAATGAGAAAGTGTGTCCAAACTTTTGGTCTGTCTTATATATATGTTGCTAATACCAAATAAAATCCTCCAATAATACTAAAAAACACATTTTACACAGACGATTAATTTTTTATTAATTGCCTAATACATGTAAGTGTTTGTGGTAAATGAAGATCTTACAGCTCTGGTCTGCAGTGGTCGTTGCTGTGAACAGGTTTTTGGTCATGGTGTCTTTCAAGCAGCTGCAGGCGAACATGCAGTCAGGCCGCTGGCAGTGGAAGGAGGCGCGGAGAGCGCCTTTGTGGTGTCCGTACACACTGTCGCACACACAGCCCAGCCGACAGAAGTCCTGACCGCACGCCACTGGTGGGCTCCCTTTGAAACTGGCTGCTCGGAACACGTCGTTGAGCTGCGTCTGCGACGTAAATACAAAAAAGTTAACTCACTGACTGCCAGGCATTTTCAGATTTGAGAAGTGCATTCTGCCAGCAATTTCAGGTGATTTGACCCAACTTTGAAGTGCCACAGAATATTCATTTTTTAGACGATGTAAACACCAAGGGCACCAAATTAAAGATTAACCTCTCTGCTTTACTCTGAAAAAAACAGTTTGTTTCTACCTCTTACCGTTCTTGCGTTATTTGCCATAGAACAAAGCATACTTTCACCCATAACACCTGGTCTGAGCAAGAAAACAGAGAAAACGAGCTGTATGTAAACAGGAACATATCAAGCAGAAAAGAGACTTTAGATGCATTTTTGCTGCTTTAGTGACAACTCAAAACATCTTCACACTTGTTCCATTACAAAAATTATAAAAACATGACTCTGAAATAATACTTTTGATGGCAAATTGTTGGCAATTTATTCACAGATAGAAAATTTAACTTTCTTCTATACCATCAACCAAAACGTCAAACAACAACAACACAAAGATCAATAAAACTATAGATGTATAAAATAGAATGAAGCATGTGAATTTGTGTGTGTGTGTGTGTGAATGTCAGTGTGCGAGTGAGTGTCTGTGTGCGTGAGTGTCTGTGTGAGTGAGTGTCAGTGTGCGAGTGAGTGTCTGTGCGAGTGAGTGTAAGCTTTTTTTTATTTATATACCGCCTTTTCACTGCACATCGGAGTCTCAAAGCGGTTTACAATTGTTGGGTGGGGGGTGCCAGTACAGGAGGCACATGCCATACCTATTGTACATATTTTTAGTGGTAGGGGAAACCGGAGCACCCGGAGGAAACCTACGCAGACACGGGGAGAACATGCAAACTCCACTCAGAAAGGCCCTAGTCCAACCGGGATTCGAACCCAGGACCTTCTTGCTGAGAGGCGAGAGTGCTATCCACTCAGCCACCGTGCCGCCCAGTGTGAGTGTCTGTGTGCGAGTGAGTGTCTGTGTGCGTGAGTGAGTGAGTGAGTGCGTGTGAGTGTTTGTGAGTGTGTCCGATAAATCATGATCAGGTTTGCTGAACGAATCCGAGGCATCAGTAACAGCAGCAGCTGATACGCTGAGAGAGGCGGAGGGTGTGTCTCTGCTCGGGGCTCTTGCTCCGCGCAAATGTAGCTGCAGAGACGGACCTCCACCCGGGTCTCCCCTCTCTCCCCTCTCGACCTCACTCACTGATCCGCGAGTCAATCTCTGAAGCAGTGTATACTGCTTATAACTATTCTTTTTTGCCATCACTCTTGCTATACTATCGCTAAACTAGATCTGATCCGTCTCAATGCTACAGTACGCTATCATCGCTCTGCTACAGCAGCACAGCACGCTCTCCAAAGACCCCACACTCCTCCTCCTCTCCACTGACTTATGACCTCTCCTGTGGTGCAATACTGCATCCTACTGGTGGTGATTTATCATTACAGGTACATTTGCACTATATATCAGTGTTGTGGGTCATTAACAAGGTGCGCCAGACATTACTGCAGCCTCCCGTGTAATAACACGAAAAAGTCGTCTAAGTCGTCTTGGGCAGTGAGCGTCACTATACAATAGAACGACTTTTGTCGTCATGGGCAGTGAATGAGTTAATAGGAGGAGTCCCAGGCTGACAACAGATTTCTCCATAACAGAACAAATGGCTTGGTTGGGCTCAAAAACAGGCGAGCAGAGTACAAAAAAATTATACCAAAAACAAGAACGTTATACAGCTCGACACGGAAAAAACAAACTCTGGTGCTATAATAGCGCTTGGTTTAAGGAAAAGTGCATTGGTGGAGTAAACACTGTAATTAGCAGCATCATGAGGCATTTACTGAGGTTTATATTGTACTTTAGCAGAATAAACAATAGTAATAATAACAGCAGGGGAAGTGTCAAGTGCACTAAGAGAAACTGCGTGCGCCAAGACCAGACACTCGTGGAACTAGCAGCGGCAGTATGTTCACCACAGAGCCGAGGAACGAGCCCCATGAGGCGGACAGCAGCGGCAGTAGCCAGGATGGAGCGTTCCGAGAAGGGGACTAGGAGAAACAAGCCCACAGGAGTGCGCTGCAGTGTGGGGGCTATTTAGTGTGCACGCCGACCGGGACAGGTCAGATTTACTTCCTGTTGTCATTACAAGCACAAGGCGCGCCGCTCCAACACAGCTCCAGCGGGACCTGATGTCGTTGCGTGAGGACTTTATTAAGATGAATATAAAGACAAACTGAGTAAATGACTGAGCACAGAAAACCATGTTGTCGGTGCTGAGAAAGACTCCAGACGAGAGCACACACTGAAATCTTACTCTTTAAAGCTGCTAATATCAAGAAGAAAAAATGTTCACCTCAGATTTCCAAATAAGCTTCATGGCATTGTGCGATGAGCTTTTGGAGAACTACATAGCAGCAGATGATAGGTCAGGTTCCAGGCTCTTACCCATTTAGTGAGCAGCGCGGTCAGTGACAGCGCCAGTCTCTCCTGGGTGATCTCGGTACTTCTTAGGCCCTGGTTCCGCGCTCCGGCCTCCATCTCGACCAGTTTAAGCTGCTGCTTCGTGAACCCGGGGTAGTCTGCGGCACGGACCACACCCGGTTTTCGGCCGGATTCTGGTGACGATTTGGGGGTCAATTCAGGACTGGATAATTGGGCCGATTCCATTTCTGGATTGTTCAAGTCAGGAAGAAATTTGGACAATCTGAAAGACAGAGGTTTAGAATGTTACTTTGGAATGGTGGAAATTGTACTGAGCCCAAACTAAAACACCCTTTTCCCTCAAGGTCCACCTCGTCGTTCCACATCTTGCTTCTGGTAAATATAGTTGTCTCATAAACGATTGGACATTCCTGGGACGATTGTCAATAAAACTGTATACAAATAACTTTGCAAATTTCACCAAAATGTCGTTGTTTGTGAGATTATAAAAAAGGTGGTCCATAGGCGATTAGGGCTGGGTACAGATCCATTTGTACGGCAGCTATACAGACTTAACCATTCTAATATCAAGTAATTTCTTGAGAAGCAAAACCCATTCAAGACTTTTTCTGACATCTTGATGTTAGAACATTTTTTTTTTTTTCACAAATCCACTTCTATTTCACCAGAAAAAGATACCGCCCCTTTCCTCAGATGAATCGCCACCATCAAATGTAAAACACCTTAACAAACTCATCGATTACCAAAAAACACATTCATCCGCATCCATGTTTTCAGTTTTACCTTAGCGCCAGTGTGGAAGTGCGCATGGCAGAGCTGGTTTCCGCGTTGAAGCCTTCAGAGAGGGCGGGGGAGACGCTGGGCACCGGAGAGGCTGAGGGCGTCGGCTGTAGGCCACAGGGCGCGGGAGCCGAGCGCTGCCGGAGCACACTGTCCAGCGTCTTCACGTAGCTGGAGCTCTTGGCGGGAAGCTCGTAGGCCACGGCGTCCTGGGGAGTAGACGCCAGGGTTTGGGCGCGCTCGCTGATCTGCTGCTCCTCACTCTCCAAGTACTCGTCCAGCATGTTGCTACAGAAGGCGGACAGGTTCTTCGGCGCAGAGCCATCCGTGCGATTGGCTGAAAAGGAAAAGAGGAGCAATTACAGCTGAGCGATAGGTGACAAAAGGCAGAAACATGTATTATATATCCAGAACGTAAATGATTAGATCAGGGGTCTCCAACATGTGGCTTGGGAGCTACCAGTAGCTCGCCAGCCCCTTTCAGGTAGCTCCCCAAAGGATTTAAGGAGTTCAACAAATGATCTTGAATGAATAGATTTTAATCCATTACATATCTATTATAAGTATATATATATAGGGTTTTGCAGTATTATGGTATATTTATGTGTTCTGTGTTTGTCAAAATTGTTATTGATTTTTATTACGACTGCAAAAATAAGTAGTTCTGTCACTTTTGGGGCATAAAAGTAGCTCTGGATTAGATTACATGCAGTAGTTTGAGAGCGAGTGGAGTGCATGTGTCATCCGCTATTTCAGGCAAAGAGTATAAGAGAGGGGGGGGACCTTCACTCAGCCAATCCGCTCTCTGCCCAAAGAGTCAAACAGTGACTCACAGGGCTTTTACATTTCTTCACTTTGAGATCAATGAAGTTTATGTTATCTGATCTTTTCTACAAGTATAGAAAAGATCACAGGTTTTCAAAGTAAGACGAAGACAATTAAAACAAGTAGAGCTGCAACTAACGATTATTTTAATAATCGATTAATCTGTCGATTATTTCTTCGATTAATGGGATAAAAAAAGCATTTTTAGTTTCCATCCCGTTATTAAAAAACGTGGCCTTGGATCAACACAAAGAAACATACAAATGTATGCTATACAGTATAAAGTAAAGTGCACAAAAACAGGTTTTGTTGTTTAACCCAAAGAGCAATTACAGACAAGACGCGTTTGTGTAATTAAGTCATTTTTAGGGTAATTGTATATTGTTGAGTGCGTATACTCAAAAACGTTTGAAATTTTTATTTCAAAAGGCTGTAACTTAAGTGATAGGAGATAAAGACTTTCTGTAAATTACAGAATTATTAACGATGGCCAAAAGTTTTATGTAGTGAATAAGTGTACCCATCTAATTAGCATATTATTACGTCATATGGCGTTGGAAATTGTGGATTTTAGAATTTTAATAAAATGTGTCTCCCCTGCTCTCTCTCTCTCGTCTCCCCTCTCTCTCCTCTCCCCTGCCCTCTCTCTCGTCTAACACCAGACAAAGTCTTCAACACGTTACTGTCCCGGTGATGGCGGGAGGCACGATAATACATCTGTGGGAGGCACTATTTGCGGAGATTTTACCGGAGACTAGCAGAGGCTGGAGTCGCGGCGCCACGACATGACTTCCAGGCTTGTTCTCCGCAAATCTAACCTGTCTCCGGACCTCCCAATGATAGCCCTGACCCTGAGAAACACGGTTCCCACTGACTCTGTGCAAAGTGTCTAAAGATAAGATAAGATGTGCTTTATTTATCTCACAGAGGAGAAATTTACATGTCACATTTGGCATGGATAGAGACACTCAGATTGTGCAAAGGGAGGAAATGTGCAAACATGTTACATGCAGGATATATGTACAATAAAGTGACAATAATTATGTACAACAAAAGTGACAAGTGTCAATTGGAAACAGTGTCAATAGTAGTGCAGGTTTTCACACAGTGATCATTTAAAGTGACTTATTGTACAGTCTGACAGCGGTGGGGATAAAGGCCCTGCGGTAGCGCTCCTTCCTACACTGAGGGTGCCTCAGTCTTCCACTGAAGGAGCTCCTCAGCTCCTCTACAGTCCTGTGCAGTGGGTGGGAGGTATTGTCCATGATGGAGGTGGCTTTGGCTAGCACCCTCCTGTCCCTTACCTCCTCCACAGAGTCCAGGGAGCAGCCCAGAGTGGAGCTGGCCCTCCTGACCAGCTTGTTCAGTCTGTTTCTGTCCCGCTCTGTGCTGCCCGGGGCCCAGCACACGGCAGCGTAGTAAATGGCAGAAGCTACCACAGAGTCATAAAAAGTCCTTAGCAGAGGCCTGCTCACTCCGAAGGACCTCAGCCTCCTCAGAAGGAAGAGGTGACTTTGGCCCTTCTTGTGCAGGGCGTTTGTATTATGGGACCAGTCCAGTTTATTGTTAATGTGAACACCCAAGTACTTGAAGCTGTCCACCAGCTCAATGTCCTCCCCCTGGATGTTCAGCAGCGTGTGGGAAAGTGGTTTTCTCCTGAAGTCGATGAGCATCTCCTTGGTCTTACTGGTGTTCAAGCACAAGTGGTTGCGCTCACACCAGTCGACAAAGTCCTTGATAACCGACCGATATTCCAGTTCGTTCCCCTCAGACACACAGCCCACGATGGCGGAGTCGTCGGAGAACTTCTGCAGGTGACAGCTGTGTGTGTCGTGTGTGAAGTCTGAGGTGTAGATGGTGAAGAGAAACGGTGAGAGGACAGTGCCCTGAGGGGCCCCAGTGCTGCAGACGACCACCTCAGACTCACAGCTGCGCAGCCGCACGTACTGTGGTCGGTCTGAGAGGTTGTTGATGGTCCATACAGTGAGGTAGTCGATGGTCCATGCAGTGAGGCTACTGTCCACTCCCGCGTCCTCCATCTTCCCCCGCAGCAGTGCCGGCCTGATGGTATTGAAAGCGCTGGAGAAGTCGAAAAACATGACCCTCACAGCGCTCCCGGCGGGCTCCAGGTGGGAGAGCGTCCGCTGCAGGAAGTAGATGACGGCGTCCTCTACTCCGATGTTGGGTCTGTAGGCGAACTGCAGCGGGTCCAGGGTGGGGCTGACCACGGAGCGGAGATGGGTGAGGATGAGCCGCTCCATTGTCTTCATCAGGTGGGAGGTCAGTGCGACTGGTCTGTAGTGAGCCGGTTCCTTGGAGTGTGCTGTTTTTGGGACTGGGATCACACAGGAGGTCTTCCACAGGACAGGGACCTTCTCCAGGCTGAGGCTCAGGTTGTACATGTAGCTGAGGACCCCAGAGAGCTGGTCTGCACAAGTCCTCAGCAGCCTGGGACTGATCCCGTCCGGTCCTGCGGATTTCCTCAGCTTCAGGCGCTGGAGCTGACTCCTCACCTGGTCCGGTGTGATGGAGAGGGGGGGGGACTGGGGTGTACTGTCCGAGGTGGGGGCTGGGGATGCGGGGGCAGGAGGGCCCGGGGCAGCCGGAGGCAGTGTCCACTGGGCGGTGTCCACTGGGCTGGAGACGTGTGAAGAGGTGGGGGCGGAAGGGGGGGCAGATGGAGAGGGGGGAGAATCAAACCGGTTGAAGTACTGGTTAAATTCGTCCGCCCGGTGCTGGTCTCCATCTGCTGTTCCTCTGGCACTCTGTCCAAAGCCGGAGATGTTCTTTAGGCCTCTCCACACGTCGCGGGCGTTTCCCTGGGCCAGCTTCTGCTCCAGCTTTTTCCCATAGTCCTTCTCGGCCCTCCTGATCCTCCACTGGAGCTCGTGCTGGATCCTCTTCTGCTCCTCCCTGTCCCCTGAGATGAAAGCCCTTTTCTTGAGGTTCAGGAGGGCTTTAAGCTCAGGGGTCACCCATGGGTGGTTGTTAGAGAAACACCGCACCTTCTTAGTTGGTACAGTGTTATCCACACAGAAGAGTGTGGTAGTGCGGTACAACACTCGCACGCTTCCTTCGCTTCACTATTCTGCACTGGTTCAACGCGGTCTTGCTCAAATAATTGCCTCCACCATAGACTGTATGACCACCTTCGCCACACTCTGCTCTTCTTCTGTGGAGTTTTACGGCAGTGTGCATGCAGTGTTGTGTAGTTCTGTGGTGCATGTGCGTCCGTCCGCTCAACCATAGAACTACAAGAATGCGCCAAACTCGTGTGCTCTGTGACGTATTAATCGCGCGACACAACGAATCGATAACCAAATTTGTTGCCAACGCTTTTAATAATCGATTTTTATCGATATTATCGATTCGTTGTTGCAGCCCTAAAAACAAGATACTGTAAAGGGGTATTGCCAATTCATTATTTTCTATCAGTGACGAGGTCCACAATTCCCCTTCATTAGCCCCACCACACCACAAATTATGCAAGTTAATAAAAACAGCATGTTCAAATGTCATCTGGAACAAAGCTAATTGCAGCAGACAAGAGTCATTACCGTCACTCAATTTATCTTTGGCCACAAATTTGTTCCTCCAGCCCTTGATCTGAGTGATGTCGCTGGTCTTGCCTGTTCTGGAGATGAATGGCAGTCCCATCTCTAAAAAAAGAAAGAAAAAAAGGTTGTTAATGTTGTTACATTTGTGTGCAGAGATGTGAACATACCTTCGGTCACGATGAAGGTGATTTTGGGAGGGAGAGGCAGCGGAACGCCCAGATACTGCAGGTCAACCAGCTGAGCACGGTCCAACGAGTTCAACTTTAAACCCACTAGAAAAGAGCCAGTGTTGTCACGATACCACAATTACAAACTCAATTCTGACACTAAGAAATGGACGCAATAACAGTTTTGATAAATTGGTGAAAATGGGTGCTTGTGTAATTAAGTTTAGGGCCAATCAGCAACAATACAAAAGCCAGTCAATACAATACAGACCTAGATATATTTCAATTTCGATTTGATGCCCCATATTTCGAAAACAATTTGGTTGAGTATGAAAAAAGGCTTTTGGCTCCTTATGTAACGTTCTGCCACACTTTGACAACAATACAAATATTTTCTTTGAATGCGCATACATTTCATTTATTGTTGCTTCTTGTTGTTTAAGTCAGAATGTTAAAATAAATATTTAAAAAAAGAAAAAAAAGATATACAGTATATGAAACTAAACAAAACATTTCTCATTCAGTATCGGTCGAGAGAACCACACTCATTGGCTTTTTTAAAGAATCTATACTTTCTGAAATGGCAATCCAATTTTGGAATCAATTTTGACAAGTCTAGTTTGCAATTCAAAATATGTATGACATTTTGAGTACAAATGAATATCCACTTTTCAAACGTGAAAACATGAATCGCTTCAATAACGATAAGTGTGAATGACACTGTAGCGTGTTGAGTTCCTCTTAATAATCCAGATTAAATCAAATCTGAAAATAGACTCACCTTGCCGCAGGACTGGGTGGATGATTTGTCTGTGTTTGAAATATCGTAACTCCTGAAGCAATTGGGATTCGTAACCGATTATCTTGGCCCTCTCGCTCCCCGACGCGTCTGTTTCAGCAAAGTTAAAAGTAATCGTCAACACTTGAATCATTTCTCTATAATAAACGGAATGGTTCTGGTTTGGACTTACTCTGACTGAAAGGAGCTGGACTTTGTGTTGAAGAGTCTGCTGCTGTTTTCACCCGGTGGCTGCTGAGAGCGGTCTATGGGCCACATGGACAAAAACACATCAGACCTTTGAGTGCCACTCACTCTTCTCTCGTGTAATGAATTTGTGTAAAATAACAGCAGCGCCACCGCCAGCAAATAAAAAATGCATCTAGCTTCTTGTTAGCAGCTAATCTCCTCAAATAAACAGGTAAACAGTGATAGAAAAGACGGTGAACTGAAGACACATTGAGCGCTAGTTGCAGCAAACATTTGTTCACTTTTTTGAACCCATTTTAGTTTGTGTAGGACCATCAACGCTTTCTCAACATATTCACTGAACTTAAAAAAACAAAAAACAAAAATACCGCAATAATAATATCGTGATAATTTTGGTCACAATAACAGTGAGGTTACATTTTCAACACCCCTTCCAGAGAACTATCTTGTAACACAGTTGTAAGCTTTAAAAACATAAAGCAAACCATCACCACTTGACAATCTACAGCTCTCATGTTTGACACAGTTTTACTCGAGTACTTTACCTTGGATGTAAACGACACAAACAGCAGGCCCTCCACGTCGTCCAGATCCGGATGCAAGGTGACCGCGGGGGGGTGGCTGGGCTCTGCTGGAGTGGGATCGCACCCTCTTCTCCAACTGTACTTCTGCGAACTGGCCCAACTCTTAAACTTCTTCTTCTTGAACTTCTTCTTGTACTTGGACAGTATTTTGGGGGTGGTAGAGGGCCTGAACTTGGCTTTGGGGCTGGCAGCGACGGGCAGTTTCACAGGAGAAGTCAGGTCGACGGTGGGGATCGGGTCTTCCTTGGGCGCCGCTTGTCCCGGGGTCAGGACCAGGTTTCCCAGCTGGTGCTTGCCGCGACAGTTTGTGTACGCATTTGCTTTGCCGGAGAAAGGAGACATTATCGGCTTCAAGATGACCGCTTTGGCTTGTTGGGGCGGCGGCAGCGGTGGTTTATGACTGCAAGACAAAAGGGTTCACAAAGAACATTTATGAGCACGGCAACTTCAGTGAATGTTTTTTTTTTTTTTAAGTTTATTTGAATAGGGACAAGTATGTCACATAAGCTCATGTTACATACTACAACATTTTAGCCAAAGCTAATTCTCAATGTCCGTCCCTAGTTGGGCCTTTACATACCTGTTGGGCCTGTTCTACATCAGGCATACGTCAAACTCAGACTTGCAAGACCATTTTTAGTGGTGCATGGAATTATTTTCAATTTTCCATACCACAATAAATGATGTGATGGGATTCTTTTTAATCACATTTTAAAGCCTATTTTCTCAGGAAAACAATCATATAATTAAAGCCGCAAGCGGCGTCGAACGGCCCTCGCCGCACCGGGCGACTCCCCACACCGCACGCACCCCCCGCACCGCACGCACCACGCCGCCCTGCACCACGGCGTCGCGCACCAAGCCGCAACGCACCGCTCCACAACACCCCGCACTAGGCCGCACCACACCGTACCACGCAGCACCGCGCATAGGAGGTGGCGCCGCCGTGTGATGATTGGTTCCCGTAGCCATAGAAGAACTTAGTCAAATTGTAATGAATATGATAAGTAGAGCTGGTTTGGCTCCCCATGTAAACTTTGAATCAGTCTGTAGGGGGCGCTAATGGGCCAATTTCAAATATTTCACTTTCACCTGACCTAAACCCTGGAGTTGAACAATGGATTCAAGTTTAATGCAAATCAGTCTTTGTTTGTGCAAACGGGAAAAAAATTAATGTTGTCAAAAACGGTAAAAAAACCCTCACATTTTGCCGCCCCGCTTCTCAAACAACGTTTCACTGATTAAAATTCCCTGAATTCATTTTGAAGGTAAATGTGTTGAGATGATTTGGAACAATTTTGAGGCCAATCGGTGAAACGGCCGAGGAGGAGTCGCTTTCCAACCGGCGTGTATGAAAATGATTGGTTTTCATTTTTCCATTTTGCAATGAAATTTATGGGCTTCTTGTTTGTCAGAGGGCTTAGCCATAATAACATTTTATCCATGTCTTGACTTGAGGAATATGTGTTCCAAATTACATGGCTCTACGACAATTTTGACCTCGAACCCATCCCATAGGCCAGGGGTTAAAGCAAAAAAAAAAGATTTGACTGAAATTTTTTGCATGGAAATTTATCACATGTAAATCACAGTAATATGCAGGACCAAGTTATATTTTTTATTACAATATATTATTGTATAATAGATTGTATATTGAATACAGCTCAAATGAATTCTTCAAAGATATACAGTGTATTTTGATATGAAATATAAGTGGATCAAGCAACGAGTCAACTTTTTGACAGAATATTAGTGAGAGTAGCTTTACTTGAGGCGATATGGAGCGTCAACACTTTGGCTCTGTCCTCGTCAAAATATTGCAAAAGGACGATAAAATTCTGTCCACATTTGTTTGTGGACACGTCAATATTTAAGAAAAAGGTTTCCCTATCAAGTTTGAGTGCACAGTGCACTTCGATCAACTGCAAATGATTTAAATAAATCTACCAGCGGTAGTGATATTCTGAACGTTATTTTCTGCGATAAAGCCACAGACACGGTCCGCCAGAGCAAACCTAGTGTCAGTTGTTGCTGATGCACCAGGTAAAGATGAAGTGTGGGAAAGTGCACAAACAGCTGCCTTGTGCGCAGTTTTGAGCTGGTGGCGAATCAAAACTTTTTTCTCATTACTCCCATATATATGCAATTTTTTATGGCAAAGTACGCACAAGCACCGGCCACTTTCATCTTTTCGCACCATGACTCATTGATTGGCTCTTTTACATCACGCTGAGTTTTGCAAGAAGATCGCAAACAAGACAAAATCAAAAGCTCACCAAGACATGTTTGTGACCCATTCCCAGTTGCAGCAAAGTCCGTTTTGTACATTCCGTTAAGTAAAATAGCATTGCGTTTGGTAAACGTTAATTACCTTTCGTCTATTACGCGCCCAGCTTACCAGTCCGCGGATCTGCTGCTGTTATCGCTCCGTTCGAGATTCAATTTTCCTCCTCTTCTCCTTTTCAAAAGCTCCGTGCAGTTTCCAGAAACTTTCACCTCCGTGTTACCAATGCTAACTTCATCGCGTCTTCATTTGCGCGTGAGCTCAGCTACGTCCCATTGCCTTGATTCATTTGCGGAGCGCTCATGTGGCCACGGCACGTTCAAGGCCCACTCGTCATTATATTACTTATTATTTCTATATACATATAAATACAATTATATTCAAATTATTATTATACATCGATATATATATATAACAGATTCAAACGTATATGTATTACTATATATTATTTTTATAATCAATCATTTCATTTTGTGTATTATTATCATTATATATATATATATATATTTTTTTTTTTCCAGACCAATTTCATTTGACGGAAATCCGTCACCTAGACGGAACTCTTTAATCCCTGCCATAGGCATTTTTAAATTGGCTGTTGTAGGTGGCGCTATAGAGCCAATTTCAAAATTTTAACTTTCAAATGACCTACACCCAAGAGTTAAACCATCGCTTCAAGTTTTGTGCCAATCACACTTTGTTTGTGCAAACGGAAACAATTTTTCTATTGTCAAAAACTGAAACAAAAATACGCCATTTTTGGCACTCCGCTGCTCAAACAACGTTTCACTGATCAAAATTCCCTGAAGTCATTTTGATGGTACATGTGTTGAGATGATGTGAAGCGATTTTGAGGCGAATCGGTGAAACGGCCGAGGCTGGTTTGATGTTTGTGTGAGGTGTACATTTGCAATGAATGGGGAGCGTTTGTCGTTGCCACGGCAACAGGGTAAAAAATAAGCCTTGGACTCTATTGACTTTTTGAATCAAGAGGGAAAAACAGATTTATGTGCAAAATTTCAAACATTTTGAAAAAAATTAATTTGAAAATGCCCATCTAAAACTTTGAAATAGTCTGTAGGGGGCGCTAATGTGTCAATTTGAATCAATTCACTTTCAAAAGCCTTACCCCGTTCGGGGCTCGGGTCTAATAAAAGACATTTTGGGGGATATCAGTGTAAGACTGAGTACTTTGGAAAACCTTGAGGGAATGTGAGAGACGTAAACAAGTCAGTCTTAATGCAGATGACCATTTACATTTACATTCATTCACAAAAGAGCTGTTCATCTCCACTCATCACACTTTATGCAGGTTTGGGTGGGGATTGGGTGAGGTTTGGGTGAGGGGCTGGTGGGCAACAGCACACACTGACTGCAGCTCTGCTGATCAAGCTGGAGAAGTGACTTAAGTTTGTCCCAATTTAAAATCTCCAAACCAACAGATACTCTTAAATCTAAAACCCAAGTTTTGTCCACTAAGACCACAACATGTGTCTACAGTATTAGAAATCAGGTTTACTTTGCAGTTGTGTAATGAAGAGCCTGCGAGTCACTCTTTGGAACAAGGTGAGGGAAGTTGATTTGCAGAGTGAGGGTCGTCTTCCCTTTTGTCGCGTTTCTAGTCAAATAGTTTTTTTAGACCCTTTGGTCTTTTTTTGTTTGGTTCATGGTAATTTTATTGTGCGTCCCATTTTAATTTTCCATGAAGCAGGAGCAGTTTAAAATAAAGCAATAGTTTCAAAATAACACATTCGCAAAATGAAAGGTTATTTATCATGTGAAAAACAATAGAAAATCCATCTACGTTTGTTAAAACGCAATGGTGCGAGTGTAAGCGTTGCTTTAGTCGAGAGAGATTATATAATATATATATATATATATATATATATACACACACACACACACACACATCTCTCACAGCCCATGGGCTGCCGATGCTCAGAAAGCGAGAACTCTGGTCTGTCTGACTAAAGTATATCACATGTGTGGTGAGGGTTCCACATCCTTTAACCACATGTAAGAGACAAGTTTTGTGTATTGCGGGTGATTATTAGAGGCCATCCCTTGCGATAAATGAGAAACTGTAATAGTTTCAGCCCTGTAGAAGTCTACAAAGCCTCGTGCATTAATGACAAATATTTGTTTCAAAAAATACAGGCCATAAATATAAGTAATGACACTCACACGAACGGCGCTTCTATCCGCGGCGGCTGGACATTAACCTGCGCCGTCGCAATGGCCCCGGTCATCTCTACGCTCACAAACCCGATGTTGGCTGCAATCATCTGGGGCCGTGGGGTCAGTCCCTCATCCCGGAACCCCTTTGCGAACGGGTTGTAGCGAATTTTCATCTGTGTCATCCTGATGTTCTGATACGTGGTAACCGTCATGAACTCTGTCTGCGGGAAAATGAACGTTAAGCTGTCTGGCCCTTGCACCGCAGGCTGGTCCGCGCCCGTGAATGGGACGATGTGCAGTCGGGGAATGTATCTGTGCAAGGAGTGTAAAATGATATGCCCTTCTTGGTCGTAGCTGTTGTTGGTCACTTTGAGCTTTTTAAAAGACACCAACACTCGCATCCACTCTGCGCCCGTGTTTGGCGAGTAGTGATGTGAATACGCCCGGGTTAACCCCTGCGACAAATGATCCGCAATTCCGGAACCTTCCCAGTGAGTCCCACACCACTTGTACTTGTAAGTGTCCGCCGGGGGGATAGACAAAATCATGCTGTACTTCCTCTCGGGGTCCAAACCTGAAATGCGATAGCGGCAATACGGGAACATGTGCCTGCCCGGTTTGGTCAAAATCATTTCAGTTCCGCATCGGTGAAACTCATTCCAGATTCTTCCGCTTTCCAAAGAGACTGTGACACCTTTAAATGTTAATTGATTGGGATAGTCTGGTCCGTTAGGGTCTCCGAAAACCGTAGGCGGAGCAGCAGCGATGGTTTTGCTGAAACTTTTTGGTTTGGTGCAAGGCAGGGAGTCGGCGGCAGATGCTATGTGCGAAGTGGAGGGGCTCGTTTCGGCCCAGTCGTCCGATGGCGACGTTGGTAAATGTTTGGCCGGACACGCCTCCACTGGAGATGAACGGGCTTTGCTGCAGCCTGTGGTCGCCATGGAAGCGGCCCAGCTTGCACTCTCGGTGTTGCATGAAGATAATGCAATATTTGTGAAAAAGTTGTAGGATGAGTTCATGTCGCCGTCCTCTGTGGAGTCTGATGTAGGCATCGCTGCTGTCCGGGCTTCATGTAAGACCTAAAACAAGACAACACAATAACAGCGTTAGTTACAAAGCACAGTGGGATTTATGAACAAGTACGAGCTAGCTAGCCAGTCAGAACTGCAGTTTTGTTTTCGCCATGACTCTGTATCTCTACAATAGATAAATACTGTACGATCACAAAGAATTTTTCCGTGTCGGGTTTGCTTGTTTATCTTAAAGATATCAGCCAATGCTAATGCTGAAGCATTACAATACCAAAAATACTATTACTCTACAAGCCACAAACATATTTAGGAGTATTTATTTATGTATGTTGCATTGTGTTGAAATGATGTGCTGACCAAGACAACAGTAGGAATGGTTGGCGTGTTGTTTGGATCTGTGATTCTGTTACTACTGCTTTTTGGCAGTAAAACAATTGATTCAATTCAAAACACCATATGTAACTTTAAACTCATAAAATAACTGAATAATCATACCATTTTAAGTAGGCTTAAGTGCATGTCAAGCTTCCCTGGACCTGTGAAGTGACTTTATTACCAAAATAAAACATGTGTATGTAATGTTTTACTTCATAATTGTGTACAAATATTTTAAAGGGAAGTTAAGCTCAGGCACAAACTATCAAATAAAACCCACCAACTCGGTCCTTTCTCTCAAAACAGTTAATCACTAGTCTTTGCATGTGTGTACTTATGGCTTCAGTCCCACCTTTAGATCAGCTCAACCCATAGAGTCAAATAGTGACTCACACTTCTTATAAGATGAAGACAGCATGTTGTGGTCTGACTTGTTCTTAAAATTTTACCTTTACAACACTGATGGGACAAACAACATTAACCCCATTCAAATAATATAAATAAGTCTGATCATGCACTCGGAGACCGCATACCCCCGCCAACACCACAGACCATATACATCTTTATAGGGTCTTCCTACTTTCACATTCAATCACCACCCCATTTCTGTTGTACACACACACGCACCGTTTTAATGGGGGGAAAAGTTAGGTACCCCGGCTTTAAATACTTGGTCAAGAGTCACCGCGGCCTTCACACTCATAACAAGCAGCTGCAACGTGTTTACGGTGTGATAAGCGTCACATTTCATTAACTAGCAGCTTAATAAGATGTTAGAATAGAAAGCCGAGTAACGACGTATTTATATGTGGATTCTCAGCTGCCCCACTCGTTATCGCCTCATGCATTGTCCTCCACCCCCACTGTCCTTCCTATGGACACATCAGAGAAGGGGGGGGATTATTATTGATTGTTTATTACAGTAAAATCATATCAAGTCCTGCAACTATGTGACGATGCATGCAAACTACCAGCAAACACAACCAAGAGTCACGAAGGCACGTTCCAACAGTGTCCCGTGATTAAAAACACAAATTATTACGCACAGGAGCCAGGGCAGAAGCAGGCCCTCTTCTCCTCTCTCCTTACCCAAGTTGAGGTGGGGGAAAAGTTGCAGGATTCTTCTCGATCGCCTCTGGTCCCAAGTCGAAAAGGATGTGGACGTGCAGCCAGGTCGTTGGTGATATGTTTTACGCACGCAGCCAAAGCGATGCCAAGTTCTCAAAACGCAAAAAATTAAAGAAAAATGGAGACGACACCCAGCCCAGGGCAACCCAAAACACGCACGCCACGAGCTGTGAAGCGCATGCACAGTTCACCCCCTTCAATGGCGCGTGATTCCCGGGCCATTCACTGTGCATCCACGCCAGCACGAGGTCAGATCCACGCCACGCATACGTAACTCTGCAAACTTTACGCGCGGGGGTGTTGGGGATTTTTCTGCCTTCGTTGGTAAAGCGGTGGCACGTCTCTGTTCTTCCTGCTTCTGCGGCGGTGGCTGGGGCTGTAGTTTTCGGTCACTGATCCCTTCTCACCCCGGGAACCACTGCTCCAGCAACACATCCGCGAAAAGGACTCTGACGTCACGTGGTTATGGCGGTTTCGCTCCGGACAGCCAATGCGCACGCTCCGTTGGGGGGAATATTTGTTGCACACTTGTGTTTATTTGTGGATATTTTTTCTTCATGAGTTAAAAAACATTTATAAAGATAAAGTTATTTCGTGTTAGAGTGAGGAGAAAATAGAGTGGTGTAATAATGGAATTTAATGAGGGAGACACAGTGAAGTGAGGACTGGTGCTGATTCATTGGTTAAAGACACATGACTCCATGCTTGTTTCTGTAATGGCGGCCGGAGTCACAAAATCCGGATTTTGTGAAGAAATAAATCAAGTATAGTGTAAACAAAAAGTACAAACGCGTGCGTCCCATGTGCGCAAAGCTTACGTTACAGTGTCATCTTTGCAGAACTTACCGTGTCCTCTGCGCAGTTCGAAGGAAAACAGCATAAAGTTACAACTCGCTTTTTCGCACTCATCCGTTTTTCAAATTCCAGTTGTAGAAGAAGAAGAAGAGTAGAAAGAATGCGCCGCAAGAAGCACGTGTGAAAATCTCACAATCTCGGTTATTTTTGAGAACAGAAATTAGCCAACATTTGCATGCAGTGCAACAAAAGCTTCTATTTTGGCCACAACCAGCAGAGGATGGCATGACAAGGTCACAATTGATATCAAACCCAAACCTTAAATTAAATGCTGGGGTTCCTAACACTTATTATTCCATGTGATAAAATGTGTGTCCCAACAGAAAGAGTCCAAATAAACTGTTATAAACAAATCAGACCAAAAATACATGCATGTGTAAACTAGTGATATAACCAAATTGTTAAGAGCTCGATCTCTTAACAATTTGGTTCTACATGTAAATGATTTTGATTACATTGTTAATTTTTTGAAGTAAAACAAAAAATCTATGTAATGTAATATACTGTATGGATGAAGTCTCAGCTCATCTATAAACAGGTACCATCTATTTCCAACTAACAGTTTGAAAATGTTTTGAGCTAAATAAATAAATATATATTCGTTTATTCTTCGACCATCAGCAGAAAATAAGAAAACATTTGACATTCACAAATTATAAATTATATACTGACCGAAAGGGTTAGGCTGAAGTTTAACACTTATTTCGCCTAACCCTATTAACAAATAACAAAATTACATTTCTTACTTATACAGATGTAACAAAATTATATACAATGTAGCGGATCCACAGAGCTTAACAGTATTTCCAAATACAATTTTCATTGTAAGAAAATAAATAGTTCGTACTAATTCAAAGAAATATTCCTTGTAATCACATTATATACATAAACACAGAGTATGACATATATATATATATTTATATATATATTTTTCTTATTATTATTTATTTATTTTAATTTTCTTCCTTTTATGTATATAAAATATATATATCTATACATGGATTTAAATACACATACACACATTCATACATATACATATATATATACATACACACACATACAAACATACACCTATACTTGTACCTGCATACACACAGGTTATTATTATTATTATTCTAGTGATTTATACTTTTCTTCAACAATAGCCTTAAAGCGCTTTTTAAATGTGTGAATTGAGGTGGAACATTTGAGTGGCTCATCCAGGCCATTCCAAAGATGAACCCCCCCTGACCCCCCTGATGTGTAAATACATAAATTAAATGCATGCTATTCCATCTAAAGATGGATCATACTTTTATACTCTAATTCTTCACAATTTGGCACATTATACTATATTCTAGCCCCAACTTTGTCATCAAGTGTTTAATGAATCTACTGAACCGTCATTTGTCAAGTATTGTTTTATTGAATTCCTTCTATTTACTACGAAGCATATTTTCATCCATTTTCTCCAATCTGGTCTCCACAGCAGCTGAGGGACTGTGTCCTGGGTCTCCTCCCTGTGGAACAGGTCTGGACAGGGAAGAATCTCAAACAGATGCCTCAACTAGCTCCTAGATGTGTAGGAGCAGCGGCTCTACTCTAAGCTCCTCCTGTGCAGTGACTGAGCTCCTCACCTAGCTACTCAGAGATCCATGGTATTTTCAAGACTATTACCCGACCCTTAGTGCTGTATAGAATCAGTTTATCAGTAGTCAATGCATTACTCAATACTATTTTCTGTTTAATCAAAAGTAGATTTGTTGTTTGTTTGAATTATAATTATTTATACAGATGAAAGGACAAACACAGATTCATGTTTATGCAGCTCTCTTACTGGAAGATAAGTTTTATTGGCCCATAGGAATGTCAGTCAATGATAAACCTCAAAAACATGATGCTTTACTTGCTTATCAGAACAAAACAACCATTTTATTTTCTCAGAATCTGTTTGAAGGAGAACAGGTTGTTTCCTATTCCAAACATGTAGGGACTGATGGAGGTGTAGGACGTTGAAATGAAGAACTTCATCTCATTCCAAAAGTCAATGTTGCTGGCGTGAGGGTTGAGTTGGATGAACAGATATAGACTCCAGTCCACCTGGAACAAGCCCATGGCTGCTAACACGGCCACTGTACTTCTATTGAAGCTGGCACTTTTCATACTTTTCATCTTCTTGCCAACGTTTCTGCTTGAATGCAAACCTGGTTCAACCTTTTTCCTTTGACGAAGCAGCACAGAAATAATAAGGCAACTCCCGACAGTGACAATAGACATGGGCACAAGATTGCAGATGACAATAATGGCGTATTTATAGATGTAATTTCCCATTGGACAGTGGACTTCATTGCAGTGGAAGAAGTCTGGAGCGCAATTGTTTTTGGTGGCATTACCCGGCATGTCCACGTCTATCACAAAAATGGGTGTGCCTAAAATCAAAGATAAAGCAAAGCAGAAAGCACTCACAAACACCGCCGATGTTATGTTGTCCAGGAAAATCGGCAAGTTCACCCGTTCCGTCGCGTTTCTCACCTTTTCGTATCGGAAAACGCAAATGACCACGGTGAACAAGATGCTGCCAAGCTCCCCACATATCGTCAAGAACTTGAGCATGCGGCAAGACCAGGTTCCAGCTTGAGCGGACGTGTCTTCCAGGATTATAATGTCATATACGTTCACAATCACAATTTCCTCCAAGTTGGACACAGCCAAACCCAAAAGAAATACTTCGAAAGATCTGATCGAGGACATTTTGGCATGAACGTGAGTGATGGAAAGGACGAGGACGAGGTTTCCGATGCAGCCGATGCAAGAGATGAAAATCCGAATTCCCAAAAGGTTTGTAAAATCCGCCATTGTGCAAGAGCAAAAAAAGAAATGGCTTTGTGGAGACTTTTTGACTGCTGCCTTATGGTAAAATAGGTGAGAGGAATGAGCGTTGTGATTGGCTGACAGATTTACAGAGAAAGAAACACTAGAGAGGCTGCTGGAAAATACAGGCATGGAGGAGATCATTAAATTTAGCATCAGGAGACCAGGAGTGCACAGCTGCTCGGCACAGGCGAGGGCTGCACGGCTGTGAAAATATCCAACTGCTAAATTTCTGATGCGATTGTCATTATCGTATATGACTAAAGTTTAAAGAATCTACTCACTGCAAAATGTTACGGATATTTTTTAAAATCTTTTCTCACAAATGTCAGACCTGAGTTGTGTAATACATTTTGATTCATTACGAAAAAACATTATAGATCCTTTATTCATCACACCTGGGGGAAATTTCAGTGTTGCATCACCAGTTAAAAACCAGTAGGAATGAGGAGCCACAATAACATATAATAATAATAAACTAAATAAAATTAAATCATGACAGAGACAAAATAAATCCAGTTATTGTTTGCAAAGAGTTTAAATGAGTTCGGTTTTTGAAAGTTACAAACTGCAACCACAATAATTGAGATTTTTCTTCAATTGCGATTCATTGTGTAGCGCTTTGAATTTAGATTGTTTTCAAACGCACTAGTGAAAGTAAGCCGTCATTGTAATTAACACAATTAACACACATTCTGGAGACAAGAAAAGGCAGCAGATGTGGCACAAGTACTACGTAGGTAATCATAGGTACTGAAGTATAAATATAGATACTAGTACAACAATTAAATCATTATCATTCCCTTATGTGCATAGTAAAGGATCAAAGCTTGTGTTTGTATTTTGGTCAAACAGTAAAATGCAACTTTATACTGTTGAAGCAATGTTAGCAAAACATGTGGAACTTAAATAGAATTGCTAACCACAATGAATGAACACACACATTCACCCTGTTTCTATGCCGTGGTGTCATCTGCAAAGTAATTCGTCACTTTAAAATGTGGAGAATGTAAAGATGGTTTAAAAGCGATAGAATTGATTATATGTTTAAAAAACAAACATTAAAATCCATCATTAAAAACGGACCAGAAGTGTTTTTAGATCTATCCACGCTAATATTATGAACATGTAACTCCGCCCTTCTTTCTGAAAGCTAGTGTCTCAGTCATGGTTATCATCTGCCTTTTAAAACGAAAGAATTTCCCATAAATTAGTATTAGTTTTTCAATTTCTCAGGTAAAATGCATATATTAACGGACGTAGTCACGCCTATCTCCGCCGTTCTAACTAATGGTCCAAAAATCATGCTTTACTGGAGCTATCCAAAATGGCCGCGAGTGGTCCCGCCCACAAGAAAATTGTGAAAAAACCATTGATCTATTATAATTATAGGGTATTACTAGCTTGGAGCTGAAGAACTCATGTGCTTGGGGGATTCTTGCGGTACTTCAGACTAAACCAGACTAAATTCACGTGGGCTACCCAGATATTTTCCCCATAGAACTCAATGTAAATTAAAACAGCGCAACCTCAGCGCGACATCAGCTGACAGCTTTAATAAAGGTCGGATTTTGTGGGGATTTTAGTTTCCCTTTTCTTTGAATCCACACTTTACTGCGACAAACTCTGCTCGTCTGGCTCTCGCTCTAACTCCCGCTCTGATGAACTGCTCTGATTGGTCAGAGCGCAGCCGAGCCCCTCTGTGCACGTGCGTGAGACCCGGTGTGAAACCCTCACACGCGTGTTCGGCGCAACGCATTATGGGAGATCATCCACTGCGCAGAACCGGGAGGACCAGACAATGCCCAAATACAGGCGAGTTTCCCATAGATCTTTGCGAGTTCCAGGCGACTACCGCTAATCTTTCAGCCCCCATGCCGTCACAAAGCGCCACTGAGCACAATCATTCATTTGAATAGGGCGCCATCTTGGATCACTGGGGCTTGGAAAAAACGCATCTGCGCATGCGTCAGCTGGCGAGAGCCCCATTCATTTGAACGAGAGACTTCAAAAATTCACAGCGAGTAAAATAGTGGTCCAAAAAAATCCACCCCCCTCAGCATTGACACACATGTGGAACGGAGCTTTGGGCCAAGAGCCAACTTTTGGTCCATCCTGTAAAGACCTTTTTGAGAGGTCTGCCAACGCTATATGTTAGCATTGGCTAATTCTTCTTCTGGGTCCACCCCCATCGGCCCGGGGTGATATTGCAAGCATGTCAGCGCACGTCATTTTGGCCACTTTTGAGCCGGGACCCGGCCCCACTGGTGAAATGACATTCTTTGCAATCACATGTTGTGTTAGCAGCAGGTCTTTTTTTAATTTGGAAAAAAAAAAAGAGCTCCGGTGTGCACTATCTTTATTTATGTACTTGTCTTGTGCACACTGGGGACTTTTGCAAATGTATTCCAAAGTGGTTTTACTGCAAATGGCAAATAAATGAATCTGAAAACAAAACAGATTAAAGCTCCCTCTGGTGGTAGCATAGGGATAGGGCAGGTCCATAGCATTATTTAGCCTGGGGTTACGTTTGTATTTTAGTAAGTAAGTAATGTTTATTTATATAGCGCATTTTACAGACCAAGATCACCCAAAGCTCTTTACAATGTTCAGAGTTCAGATATTGTTCCAATCATTCCACACACGGTGAGGACGGAAGCGAGTCCAGAACACACTGGACCATCAAAGCCCCTGATCAACACCATCCATTCACTCTCTCATTTACATTCATACCTATTGTGCATGTTTTTAGTGGTATAGGGGAAACTGGAGCACCCAGAGGAAACCTACGCAGACACGGGGAGAACATGCAAACTCCACTCAGAAAGGCCCTGTTCCGATCGGGATTCGAACCCCGGACCTTCTTGCTGAGAAGCGAGAGTGCTATTCACTCAGCCTCCGTGCCGCCCAATCTTTAGTGAAGATGTTAATTTAAATGTACATAAAATATCTTTATTGCATAAAATATACAATTTTTTTCACTTTTGTTTAAACATATTTGCACATTTCCCTGTCTTTTTGCACACCCTGAGAGATCCTATCAATGCCAAATGAAACACATACATTTCTCCATTGTGAGATCAATACAAAAAATTCTCATCTTATCTCATTTCACATTCTAAAACAATAAATACGCTTTTCAACGGCCAAAGATACAGCCAAACATTTCCTCTTTAAATTCATATGATTTCAACTGTAACCGTTCTATTTTTAAAGTGGTAAATGATATATGCTATGTATGCAATCAAAGAAGCAAACGCCATACGCTGAGACAATTGCAGGTCATTACTTCATCCGGTGTCCAACGGGCTGTCAACAACACGTGCGTATCACTGTAGAGGGCGTGACACGTGCACTGTCAGGAAGTAAGTGAAGGTCGACCGAAGGGACAGGTTCTTGTTGGAGCCTGTCCCTTGTTTACGTCGTAGGGTCTGATTCAGCTTAATTGACAATCCCAGTGTTTGTAATTAGAAGGAGCCGGAGTGAGACTGGAGTTGGTGTTCTGTGTGATGCTGTAATGAGGCCCGGCTGGTTCGGAGCGACGCTGGTAATGCTCTTATTAGCCAGGTACTTAATGGGACGGAATAAGCCGCAGTTCACTAATTATGTCCTAATACGCCGGGATCATATGGTCTCATTGAAAGGTGATGCGAAAACCAAGGGGAGGCAACCAGAAACATCACGATTGGTCTGCCCGCTAACAGGGAGGGTATAGTAATCGTCTCTGTTTGTGTGTCTGTGTAATTGGTTCATCGCGACTGATCAATTATTGAAGTAGTTTTAACAAATATTAAGCAAAAATATGAATTACCACGTATAGCAGTACTAAAATGCTAACTATAACACATTCAAATCAAGAATGAGATTCATGGGTAAATGTTTGGGTAAACTGGGTCAACTCCTGGGTAGCATATGAATGGAGTTTACATGTTCTCCTCATGTCTGCTTAGGTTTCCTCCAGGTGCTCCAGTTTCCACTAAAAAGACAATGGGTACTTTCTATCTGGGGCCAGGACTCTCTGAAAACAGGATTCTGAAATTGGACAATCCTGGTTTTAAAAAGAAGTCAAATAAATTAATAAAGTTGGTCCATCTGTTTGCCTGGTTTAATTATTTGACTGTCTAATTTGCTTAATTATAGATGTAGCAAATTAGAGCAGCACGGTGGCTGAGTGGTTAGCACTCTCGCTTCTCGGCAAGAAGGTCCTGGGTTTGAGTCCCGGTCGGAACAGGGCCTTTCTGAGTGGAGTTTGCATGTTCTCCCCGTGTCTGCGTAGGTTTCCTCCAGGTACTCCGGTTTCCCCTACCACTAAAAATATGTCCAATAGACATGTCTGGCATGTGCCTCCTGTACTGGCGACCCCGCTCCCATCTCTGTGTGGAGTGAGAGACAAATGCCCATAATTAACAATTGTAAACCGCTTTGAGACTCCTTACTTACGTATTGTGTAGCCCATTCAGAGGCCTGTTGATGTTATGTTGGGCTGTATAAATATGAATGGATTTGATCAGATCAGCCTCTTTACATGGGACAGTCCTACTTTTGAGAAATGTACCCCATGATTTATCTTTGATGTTGCTTCAGTTGTCTTCATTTTTACCAACTTAATCTATTTATACAGCTGTGAATATGTCCTGTTTTGCTTGAAAATAAATGAATCCTTTTGATAGAAACTCACATGAATCCCGTGAAAACATGTGAATAAATGCATGATTAATATAAATGCTGAAGGTGTGTATAGGTGTGTATTTATTTAATCACCTGTTATCACATGTTTTAGTGATTTCACATAACATACTTCTTTTGCTGTATCTGAGAATCTACAACAGTCATGGCTCATTGAAATATATCTACTACATATTCAACCTTAGATTCCGAAATCAAAATTAGTGATCAAAATATGCACGGTAGCAGTGCCCAGAGGAGCAGGGGAGCGATGTGGAATATAAATAATTCAGTCATGCATGGATGACTTTCACTTGTTTTGTCCACTTGTTGTTTGTCCCTAACAGAAAGAGTCTCATGTAAAAGTAACATTTTCAAATCAGACCTCAGCAGGATCTTAATCTTAATATAAAACATGTTATTTTGTGCATACAGAGCCTTGGTAGTCATTATTTTACTTTTTGGACTGCGATCTGATTGGCTGTATGAGGGTGGTCCTCTCTGTTTCACTTTTCTGCTTGAAAAAGGTGATCTAGAAATGGGACAGAGGCCAAAAAACACATGCACACAAACACTAGGAATACAACCAAACGTTTGTGAGAGCGCGGAACTAAAAAGACAAAAGGACTTCGGACTTTAACACATTGTTGTGGTTAGCTATTTCTTGGTGGGCATCTCGATTGATTTTTTTCCCACATAGGCCTGACATTTGACTCTATCCTCCGAGCACAATTATGCATAAAGTTGTAGCAAAAATACACTATTTTCGGTGAAAAGGATTGTTTCCTGGAAACTGAATTTCAAGCAGGAATCAAAATTGCGAGAAGGCTTTTCGCTGAGACACTTCTGTCAATTTCTAAATTCTTCCACTGTATTCCTGAGAGACTTGACCCAAGTCCACATTTCGTTCAGACACAGACAATATAAATACAGCATGTGCATGTTTGTTATATGGACAAACTACCATTATGTGCGGTTTAATTAAAGTGAAAAAGTGAATATATTTCTCTACTTCTACTTAAAATGTAACTAATGTTGTGAGCAAATCAAATCTTATTTAAAAATAAGGTTTGTTATAATGTTGATAATTTTGACTTTGTGGAAACCCTTTTGCTGCAACATGCAGCCATTTTTTGGGGTATGAATCTACAAGATTTAGCCCATTCCTCTTTTCAGAACAACTCGAGCTCTGTCAAATTAGATTGAGCGTTTGTGAACAGCAGTTTTCAGGTCTTTCCAAATATTTTCTAACACATTACTATGTTTTGTTTTAAACCATTCCATTGTGAATTTAGCTTTGTGTTAAGGATTTAGCCTCATTTCTCTCGCTGACTGCAGCAGCTTTTCCTCCATAATTCATCCATCTTTCCAGCTTCCTACAATCTTCCCTGTCCCCACTGAAGAAAAGCAAAACCATAGCATGATGCTTCCTGCACCATATTTGACAAATGATAGACTTTATAAGTGTAATGTCATAGTGGTACAACCACATTGTACAATTGATTTTATTTATTTGTTTATTTTGCTGGGACTGTGTGTATTAATGAACAGCAGGAGCTGTAAAATCACCTGATTGTAGATATGTGGCTAATTTACATCTGAAGTACCACAGTCACACTCACAAAAAAGTAAAATATAAATGTAAATGTGCACTTTATTATTCCTGTAGGGAAATCCATCCTCTGCTTTTGACCCATCCTGATGCCTCTTGGGCTCTGGAGGATTTTACCTATTGTGAAGGTTTTTAGCACCTGGAGGAAACCTACTGTATGCAGACTAGAACACTCAAAAAGACCCTGTTCCAACTGGGATTTAAACCCAGGACCTTCTTGCTGAGATGAAAGTGATATCCACTCAGCCATCGTGCCACACTTTCATTCAAGCCTTAAGTACATGTTTTTAGAGGATGAAACCGGAGTACCCGGAGGAAACCGGATGGATATAAAAATAACTCCAAGGAACACTGTTGTAAAATGTTTGAAAACTCAACGTTCATTTTGTCCTTATATGTCTCCTTTAACTCAAAAATCGTGTATCAAAGTAACATATCTTTTCTGTCACTGTACAACTAAAGAGAGGGGGTTTCTGCGGGTGAGAAAGTCATCTTTATACCAGGGCATTAATACTATCGCTTTTGAATGGAGCTTTTGGACTGTCAAAAGACTTTGTATTACTATTCCCTCTACTGCCCTGGAGTAAAGCGATGAAAGCCAAACTGAAGTCTGCACCAGCTGCTCTTGTGTCTCACAGACACAGCATCACTGGTCACAGCTTGGATCAATGTGAAATCCAGATCCCATAAGACTTCTGAAGCTAAGCAGGGCCTGGTTAGTACTGTGGTAGGAGACCTTAGGGAACTCTGGTGCCACAGTGGGGCGGTTGCGGCTGTAAAGTGCCAAACTGTTGTTGTGTCCTTAGGCAAGACACTTCATCCACATTGCCTAGAATGAGTCTGGTGAGTGTGTGAACGATTGGTGGTGATCAGAGGGGCAGCTGTTGCTACACTAGTAGTTTATCACCACTGTGGATGTAGTGAATGCATGATGACGTGTGAAGCATGCTATAATAGAAAGCCAATGCATTATTAATATTAGAACTGAACAAACACACAACAAACAACGTCAGCCTGAGACACACAAGGTGCGTTCACACTTGATCCAGTTCCTGTGAAGAACACTTTGAGCTGAATACTCTTTGCTGCGATGTGAAAGCCCCAAAAACATGCCCTCTGGTCCAGTAGTGCCTCAGAAAACTCTCACAGACTCTCACAGAAGTGATTTTGTTTTGGCTTTTGAAGACAGCGTGCTCTGTGACTGAGACACAGCTGCTTCTGAGACACAGAGCCTCAGTATATTACGAATGTGTCACTTGTTAAACAACAAAGAAGCAGATTATACAAACGAGATGGAAAACGTTCGCACATCAGGTAGTCTCAGAGTCAAAGACATGTGGGTCAAAAGAAAGGTCTAAAAACGACACACGAGTCAGAGATGTATATGCAATATGATCACCCGCATTTGGGAGGAATCCATGTTTGGGCTTGAGCTGCTTTTTTCTTTGTAAAGTTGTTTGTGTAGAAAATATGTTGAAAGTGTTTATGTTGCTTCAGAAGACAATAAACGTGTAGTAGTCCATCTGTGATTCCCCAGGTCCTGTAAGTGTGGCACATTGTCAGACGTTGTCCCTCTTTGGTTCTTTGTCTCCTGTCTCTTTCTTTCTGTCTTTACTTCTGCAAAAAACAAATTTGCAGCAGCAGTAGCAACACGAGGGCGACAGTAGCTCAGTTGGTAGAGCATTGGCCTTCAGGCCTGAAGGTCGTGGGTTCAATTCCCACCTTTACACCTTCTCCACCGACTCCCACTGATGACTGCTGTCGTTGTGTCCTTGGGCAAGACACTTAACCCCACTTTGCCCAAAGCCCCCACTGAAAGATCAAGGCTATGCTCACACTCAGAGAGCAGCCGTCCTCCTGTGGACTCACCACCTGCAGAGGATCAGTGAGGGGCTGGTGCTACGAGACTTGGGTGGCATCTCTGACTGTCACCCCCCTGACCCAGAAATTGATTAAAGGGTAGAAAATGGATGGATGGATGGACAGTAGCAACACTTGCAGCATTACCTGCAGCAGCACCTTCCACCACAACATAATCTTTGTTTTGATTCAATCAAATCAAATAGAATCTTCCATCCATTTTCTTTCCCTTGGAGGGTCAAGGCGGTGACAATCAGCTGCACCCAGTTCACAGAGCACCAGCCCCTCTCTGATCCTCCTGCAGGAGGTGGGTCCACAGGAGGACAGCTTCTCTGTCAGTGACAGCAGAGCCTTGTTCTTTCAGCGGGGGCTTCAGGCAAAGGGGGGTTAAGTGTCTTGACCAAGGACACAATGACAGACATAGGTGGGAGTCGATAGAGAAGGTCTCACGATGGGGTTCAAACCCACAACCTTCAGGCTTGAAGGCCAATGCTCTACCAACTGAGCCACTGTCGCCCCAAATTGAATCTAATTTGTAATATAGCTTTTCATACAAAAAAAATGCAACACAAAGTTCTTTACAGTTTCGTAAAAAAAAAAACAACAACTATTGTCCAATGACCCGGAAACCCACCCATGCCATTCTCCGTGGCTCAGGGCAGACTGGCTCCACGCCTGTAAGTCTGACTGTGGAAGCGGAAACACACCATAAAACCGTATGGCGACTTTCCATGAATCGAAAACGGCTTTAGAGCCGGGTCCACGGCTCCTGGCTCAATGCTAAGCTCCACTTTCATTTCAATGCTGCAGGGGGTGAATAATTTTTTAACCAGGTCTGTTTAGTTGGACTAGTGGTAAAGTTTGCAGAAACTGTCTGCATTTTACTTATTTCGGTCAAGATGGAATTATCAAGCAGAATGTCAATCACTGCATCTCATCAGCTGGTGCTCTGTGAACTGGGGGGCATCGCTGGCCACTCCCCCAACCCAGAAATGGATTAAGGGGTAGAAAATGGATAGATGAATGGAATGTCAATCACAGCACGAGGTTAGAGGGGCGGAGGAGCGTGTGCATCTTCAGTGGTGATGGAGTAAGGGGCAACACCAGTGATACCAGCTGCAATGCAATATATATGCGCTTTCCTGTCTTCCATAATCTTTTTTAGAACAGCTTAAATCTGAGCTGAAGCCATGTGTTTGCCAAGTCTCTTTGGACGCTGCCGACACTCCACATCAAAGCAGCGCAGCAGAGTTTACACACTTCAAAAGTGTCTGGTGCTTGCTTTAAACGGTTTGGTGGTTTGCCCTGAAGTTTATGTTAAAGTTCATCTGAACGCTGGGGTACGTACGGGTGTAAATATTGCAATCTATCAAAGTCACTCCATTCTGTCATAAACATTTATCTACTATATTTTATACCATTTATCACTATTACAAATAGACAAATAGTGAATTTATTCATCTTAGATACAGGTTTATATTTAGACATTTTTGATTTGATGAAGATAATGTGCAATTCTTGTTGAGTGGCTAATACATTTAGGGAAAACAGAATTTACCATTTGTAAGTTTGGGTATCGCTATGAAAAAGGAGCTTGTTGTTCAATAAGTGGGAAACCAATGCGTTCAGTTTGGTCAGTGAGGTTGTCGTTTAAAATGAAATGTTAAGGAATCGCTGGGACCATAAGGAATCACGTTATATGGACTACGGCAAGTTTGTCATCCACGTGGAGCAAGATCAACATTTTAAAACATATTTTTCAAGGACAACTTTTTCAAAGGTAAGAGCAGCGAACGCAAATGTCCATGCTTCACTCTAGTTCCACGGCTTGTTTCGCTGTCATGACGCAAAGTTTTGTCCCACATGTGACTCGTGTGTAGTTTGACAACCTTCTTCACTTGACCCACACTGAACACACCTCGGCAAAAAGACTAGGTTCCAAGGCGGGTTAAATGCAGAACGGTTCGGACACGCCAGCCTGTGTTGCTCTGTGTGTGAGAAAGAAAACACCTGGGTTCTTTGGTTGAATACCTGTGTTTTGCTCAGTGGGAATAAGCCCCTTCTTAACATCGCATTGACCCTTCTCTGGGACAATTAAAGTCAGGCTTGTGAAGTCTGTTTGTGTGATAAACCAGCACTGTAGCCACAGCTGCCCTGGGGCACACTGAAAGAAGCGGAGCAACCAGTATGTGGCATCGAAATTTCTGACCACCACCAACCATTCACGCACACACCAGACTTCTTTATGGCAATGTGGGTGAAGTGTCTTGCCTAAGGACACAACAACAGTTCAGTACTTCAGCCACAGCCACCCCACATGTCACCTGGCGTTCTCAAAGTTCTCCCATCACAGTACTAACCAGGCCTTTCCCTTCTTAGCTTCATAGGTCTGACAAGACCTGTCTTTCACGTACAGGAGGTTATAAATTTGCTCCCACATATTGGAAACACAGTTAAAAGCAGTCTACACACTACAACAATCTGATTTTTTGGGATTTTCAAGTGGCTTACCACATGAATCCAAACTAGTCACCCTGGATCTGCCTGTCCAAAAGTTGAGTGTATAATCGATCCATCCCGACACTCTGCGTGGATACCCCTTTAAAAGCCTCACCACGCTGCCATCACATGCCTCAACCCACAACTGTTCTTTTCGTGTTATGCAAACATTTATCCTCACATTTCCGACTTAATTCCCTGGACATTTCTCACGAGAGCCAAACCACAAATCGCCCCTCTCTCTCTCTCTCTCACACACACACACACACACACACACACACACACACACTTGCTTGCATTGCCTCAAAAAAAAAAAGCTGTCTCTTTATTTCAGATCTAGTATTTTTTTTTTTCTTCTCTTTACGCGACTAACTGAAACCTGCGCCTAACAATGCCCCAGCTCCAGCCAAAGTGACGGATCTGGCGTCCGCTCTTGTTTGTGTGTGTGTTTTTGTGTGTGTGCGCGTCCATGTGCTTGTGTGTGTGCGCGTTTGTGTGTGCTGTGTGCAGGGCAGCGAGCGAGCCACCGTATTCTATCCAGCACAGCCCAAGCGAGCAGCAGCAGCAGCAGCAGCAGCAGCCACAGAGAGAGAAGACCGAGAAGTGCTCCGTGCGTCGAAACGGCACGATCACGGCCAAAACAACCGACCATCCGGTGACTTCTTCCGTCGAAAAGCCTCCTGTATTTGGACTACACAGCCACAGCAGAAAATCGCGCCCGTGTGTGTATATATACATTCTCTCCTACCAATACTACTAGTACTTGCATTTTTTTTTTTTTTTTTGGAAGGGGGAACCAGCTCTCTGCCCAGCACGCACGCACGCACGCAGCCATCGGACATCGCTCCTTCTCTTTCTCCTTCTTTTTTTGCCTATTTGGGATAAACCTAACATTGCTTTTACGCGTGTGAGGATTGGAATTCAACGTATTGGTCGCTGCACACGGAAAGCCTCAAAACGGTGAGTAGCGAGTGCTTATCATTTCGTCATTGCCTTTTCCCCGACTTGTTATTTTTCTCCCTTGCTTTTTGGAAGACGCAAATAACGCGCAACGGCCGCTAGATTTGCGTATACGGACTATGTTAGAAAAGATAATGGCTGTGTGTGTGTGTGTGTGATGTTGGAATTACCCAGGGAGTGGTTTCTTGCTTGTATACTCGTATTCGGACTGGCAGTTTTTGCGTGTGGATGTGTGCGTGGAGCGTGCGTTGTCGGGCCGATCGCCGCGTTTTGACACCACTACCAGCCAGTACTAACCAAGTGCAATGCCATCATGCAATAATCTTCTCTAAACACGCTCTGTCCTCGCCATATTCACCAGCAAGGTCACACGGAGGGACGGCGTCTGACAGCGCGGTGATACCACGACCAGGGGGGGTGCAAACTTTACTGGATGTATCGGCTGAGTATATAGTGGGCGGGATCGGGTTTTTACGAGCGATTATTGGGGAGGATTTGCCTAAAAGAGCTGTTGGAAGTGAGTTACGCTGGCCAGGCTATTAAGCAATCAATGGATCAAGCTAAAAGGAAGCTGTATTTTACTTTTATAGCGTCGTTTTGGCTGTAACGCTGTAATGTGGCATATGCGTGGGTATATGAGTCAAATTAGGAGCATAACTTCATTGATTTGATTGGTCGGAGGCCCAGCAATTATGATTCTAAGTATGCATTTTATATACTGTATTCGCTTAAAATCACTTTACAACCAGTTAGTCTTCATTATTCTTGAAGTTAAGTTAATTCACTGATATGAAATCTTTTATTCACCACTAACAAATCTATATACTTACTTTTATTGTCTTATACATGGTTATATATGTCAAATTGGAAGCATTACTTTAATCTAACTGATTGATTGGTTGATGGGTCAGAAATGATGAGACAAGACAACATACATAAGTAATTTTCTGTTTTCAATTTGCGTGTGGGAGAGAGAATGAGCAGATTATGTGATTTTTATTGTAAAGTTACACTCATCTTTAAATGAACAGTATATAGGAGGATTTTCCCTAATATTAGGAAAGAACCGCCCTCTCTCTTTGAACAAAACTCTGGTCTTATTTGATGAGCACTGTCACCATGAATGATTGACAATTGGGAGGACCAATAGTCTTGATGATCCACCCGGAAGTAGAAAATCATTTTATATACCTTTAATTCCCATACAAATATGTTATTCATCAACTTATGAACAAATCTCGTTTTACTTTTATCTATTATAATATCAGCTGCTAGGACATGATCTTTGGGTGAATATCTATATTGATCAACGGGCCAATTATAATTAAAATATTTTTCATTTTTGGCCCAACCGTTTGAGTCAAGACAACATTATTATTTTACAAAAACCTTAACGTACCATTTGAACAATATTTGAAATCCTTACAATTTGCTCTGCCATGCTTAGCTCTGCCATGCTTAGCTCTGCCATGCTTAGCTTCAAAGGTCTGACTTGATCTGCAAGTATGACCACAAAACAGCTACTAACAAATATACTCACTTTTGACAACTCCACTCTCTGGAGCTCATCTCACACACATCAGGGGCTCACTTCAGAACTTCAAATCACTGCTCAAACGTTTTTTCAACTCCATTTTCGCTTTGGATTTTTTTTTCCTGATTAACACGTTCTTTTTTTAAAGCATCTTTGACTATCTAAAAAGCTCTATACATGTACAACGTAATTATTGACTTTTATAGTGTAATTTTGGCTGTGAGAGCACAATTGGGTTTTAGATGTGGTTAAATGTCAAACTTGGTGCTTAACCTGATTCATTGTTATTACAGAAAAAGTCATTTTGTCTGATAATTAATGGTCCAATGATATTAAGACGAGACGCCCCATCTGTACTGGACATTGTCTTGGTTAGGTGACATTAATATATGGCATAATTTACGCTCGCTTACAGCCATGGAGGTCGTGTGTGTGTGTGTGTGAGTTCAGTCTAGGAATGTATGTATTTAGAGAAAGTGAAGAATGGAGCTGGGTGCTTTTATTATAACTTGTGGTAAATTTAATTGTAGATTCTGTCTGATAATATATGACAATGTATCCATCTACTTTTATTTTACTGTTTTACAACAACCTGCTCAGGGACCACAGGTGTAAATTAGCACCGCTGTGACAACCTGCTACAATGCAGCTCTCCTTTTGGCTAATGTTTGTAGTACACCGCCCCGGTAAAAAAAACAAAAAAACGTCTTTATCTGGGTAAATGGACTACTGTTAAATGCCGAAGCGGTTAACCTACAGGGCCCGGGACGTGAACCGATGAGCTCATGATGAATGATGCTATTATGACATCATGATGAGGAGACACGTCTTTGGGGTAAAATCAGAGGGAATAGAAAGTGGCACGTTGATGGTGAGGACTCCTGTAACATAAAGATGGACTTTTATCATCAGTATTCATTTTATGTACATTTGTGTTTGACTCTTTGGACTGAAAGGCTGAGCTCCAATGGTCCAATGTCTTTTGTTCACTTTTGAAAAACAGCCAAAAGTACTAAAGTTGCCGGGACAGAAGCAAAGAAATGTGTGAAAATGTAGCTATTGTGCTAATTCCAGCATGTTTATGTTGAGGCTGTTCGCAGACACATTGATTAATATGTATTGTCCTAAATTGGGCAGCACGGTGGCTGAGTGGATAGCACACCTCGAATCTCAATCGGAACGTGCACACTAGGTTAAATCCTCCAGCTCTGGTAGTCCTGACCACTGCTCCTGACGTAAGCCTTAGTGGCATCAGGATGGGTCAAATGCAGAGGATTGAAATGCCCTACGGGGATTAATAAAGTGCATCTTTACCTTTACCTTAAAATAAATAAAATGGTAAAAGGAGTGAACAAACAGTTTTGAACGGGGCTGGTATAGTCTCTGGTGTTTAGTCTATTCTACTTGGTCAATAACTGTGTATTAATTTACTCTTCAATCTAAGTGGTAAACAAAATTGAATGGTAAACGACCCCATAAATCACTTTTTTGCTATCAAACCTTTTTTTTTTTATTGAAGAAAAAAACAGACAAAACAAAATGTCTGTTTGTCTAGTAAGTCGGTCAAATACATGTACAAACAGCTGTATTCGTTTTGAGATCTTTGGTTACACATTTTGGTGATCCGCATTGGAATGACAAATTGCCAGTTGCCCTTTTGGAATTGTCAAAGGTAAATCTAAAATGTTTAAAACGTAAAAGGCATGTTGACTTTACATATTGCAAATGTAATTAAGACTGAGAGATCCTTTATTCGTCAAATCTATAATGAATATTCTCCTTCTGTTCTGCTGTAATGTGCGCAACTTTGACATTGAACTTTCCGTGTGTGAAGTGCATTTAGCCCGGCTCTTTGCGATCGAACGGTAAATCACGACCGACGTACAGTATATGAACACCCCTGTTTTAGGCAGAAGAAGCCAGAAGTTTCTGATAATGCCGTGAATGGAGCTAAAACCAACTCTAGGTCTGTTTTTGACGAGGAGCAATGTCGTGACGGTGATGGTTAAACGCTCAAGATTAGTACATTTTGCAGAATATGTCTCCTTTAACCCTTTAATGGTTTCCTCGACCATGGGGTGGAACACTTTTTGAGTCATTTATTTGAAGCTTGGAACTTAAATCTACCTCATTGGGGCATCTCTATAACTTGGTTTTAGGAACTTTTACCATCAAACTGGATCTCAAGCATTTGGTAAAGGGCTTTAGTTAGAAAACTCTACAGGTTAAAAAGAAAAAAAGAGTTGTGTTATTATTGCTACTACATCTTAATAAATAAAAAATAAAAAATACATTGCTTTCTTCATTAAAGGGTTAAAAGAAGTCACCATCATTTACAAACCGACAGCCCTACAAACTAGTAAACACTGTTACTTTAAGACCATTTGCATATGTTGGGAAATCTGACTAAAACTGGTTTCTTATTCCAAACAGTCGGGTTTTTTTGTTTGATTTTTGTGGAGATTCCAAGCAGCCTGTAAGTCTGTGATTGGTGCACAAGGGTGAAGCGGAGCCCTGACACTGACATTAAGCTGGTCACTGATCGGAGCTCCGCAGATGCAAATTTAATGTGTGCGCGCTGAAGGGCAATGAACTCGCTCATCTGCCTGCTACTGTAACCACCACCACCGCAACCACCAGCCCCAGCCCCAGCCCCAGCCCCACATAACATGCACAGGCTTTCATCACAAGGGCGTTCTGCGTTTGATTTCAGGCTCAGACGATGTTTGCGATGGCGTGCAGCTTTCAGAGGCATGGTGGGAAAATTGTGCTTGAATGAGATGGAATTGTGTTTTTCTTTTCTTGTTTTATTTTTTCACTGGCACAGTCTGGGAGGATTGCAAACTTCAGGCCCAGGCACAAACAGTGAAGTGCTGTAGGAAAGAACCTGTGATGCAACACTGACATTTCCTTCACTGTGGGACGAATAAAGGATTTCTTAATCTTTGACTCATGGCGTGAATATTTAGAAGGGACGCAATTGAAATGTCAAGACTAAACACCCATCAAAAAAAAAGTCGGCTCAACTTAAAGCTGGGGTATCTAACTTTAAAGGCAAAGCAATGGAACTATCTCAAAAATGAAAACATGTAGCCGGTTGTTTGCTCTCAAAACAGTTTGCCTCTATCACAGTTTGTCTTTTTCACATTTTCAGATCAGCTTTTTCAGATGTTGGGATCTGAATTGTTTTACATTTTACTTTCATAAGACACTTATTGAACAACATGTGGGGAAAAAGTTAGGTACCCCAGCTTTAACTGTGAAATATTCTTTTGAAAGGGCTATCTGGGATCACTGGTATGACAAATACACATACTGTATCTTTTTATTGGCCTATTTATTAATACATAACATTTATGCCAATCTCAGTAAAAGCCCTGACTCAGTTCTTCCTCCTCGACAGTGACTCTTCTCCAG